GAGATAAAGTGAAGTTTTTGTACTCGTGTAGATAATGCAAGCTCTTGGTGGAGAATTCAGAAAATACAGATAGTGCATAGAAGAAAATTAAAATCACCCACCACCCACAGTAAATACAAAAGACTTTAAAGAAGATAAAATAATGGACATAATTAAGGTATAAAGAAAATATCCAAAAGTGTAATGATTTCTTTATGTGGAATTCAAAACTGTTCTAGTTAAGTGGGGAAATAAGTCTTTACTTCAGAAAGAAACCTTGAAATTTCAAAATGAAAGCATGTATGACCTTTTTGCTGAATTAAAACAAAGTAGAAGTCATCCATTCTGTAATAGTAAACTGAGAAAATTAATCAGGGGACTTAATTTGATGCTTCATGGTCTATGTGGTTTATTGGAGATTAACACACATGAAAATCTGCAGGATCTGTAAAGATACCCATTACTCTACTATTTGTTACATTTGCAAGTTGCTTGCAGAAAATTGTGTAGGAAAATGTGTATATTTGTTCCCTGGAATTGCTTGTAGACAAACACTTAAAAAGAACTAAATATTGGGTTGGCCAAAAAGTTCATTTGGTTTTTTCCGTAGGATGACTAATAGTGCTTAGTTGTCTTTAACTATATTTGAAACAATTTTGTTAGATTGTATTGTGACAGCTGTCATATCAGCGTGCATTTAAAAAAAACTATCAAAATTGCCAAATTTTCATGTAACCATTTTAATATTGAAGGTAGAAGAAAATAGGCAACATTTTTGGCATATTATGTTTTATTATTTCAAGAAAGGTAAAAACGCAACTGAAACACAAAAAAAGATTTGTGCAGTATATGGAGGTCCTGTGACTGATCAGACATTTCAGAAATGGTTTGTGAAGTTTTGTGCTGGAGATTTCTCGCTGGCTGATGCTCCACAGTCAGGTAGACTAGTTGAAGTTGATAGCAACCAAATCGAGACATTAATTGAGAACAATTGGCTTTCTACAATGCAGAAGATAGCCAACATACCCAAAACGTACCCAAATCAATAAAATTGGTGCAAATGAAAAATGTGTCTTTTGTTTTATGGAAAAAACTAAACGGACTGTTTGGCCCACCCAATAGATAAATAAAAGCAGTGGGTTTTGTATAACTTTAATGAACAAAATTTAGGAGCATACAGCTGTGCATACAATTGAGGAGTGGAAGAATTTAAATTGTTCAAGAAACATTTACCAAGTATAATAAAGATAATAAATAATGTTTCAGACCTTTTTATTATTTAAAGTATTGCCACATACTTTTTTTTTATTTGATCTTTGCCACAACTCAAAGTTAGGCAAAAGAAATGTCATCTTGTTTTTAGTTAATGAAATTGAAGCTCGGAAATATTAACTGGCTTTCCCAACATACAGCTATTAAATGATGGAGCAAGTACTTAAATCCGTGTCTTCTAACTCACATACTTGCAAACATACATATCTCTTCAATCCAAACTGTTTGTGTTTTGACCCTTTTTTTGTGACAATCTGGGCACCACTGATATATGAGTGAAAAGATACAGCAGATAATTAACAAACTAGTCTTCTATACTTACTATTTAAAGATGGATATTGTCAGTATTTCTGTTGCTTGTACAGTAACATGTACTCAAAATTAAAATAATGAACAAATATAGAAAGAGAAAATCCTCTGTAATCCTACCCTTCGAGACATGATTGCTAATAAGTTTCCTGACTCTGTCTACTTACAGAAACATAAATATTTATTCATTAGAGGGAAAAATGTTACATACAAACTAATCTCTAACCTTATTCACCTAATGTATTGGGACTCATTGCAATATATGGTATTTAGTCTTCTTCCTCTGGGACTTTTGTTTTTGTTTTTCAGTTTTTAAGTACACTTATTAAAATATATATAAAGTGTAGAAGTAATGTATTGCTTAATGAATTATCAAACTGCACATAACAATTCGAAACCCCACCAGGTCAATAAATAGAATATGCCCTGGCCAAGCAGCTTGGTTGGTTGGAGCGTTATTCTGGTGTGCCAGGGCTGCAGGTGTGATTCCCAATCTGGGGACATAACAGGGATCAACCAGTGAGTGCACGAATGGATGGACAGCAAGTTGTTTCCCTCTCTCTCTTTCCTTTCTCCCTCTCTAAAAATCAATAAATAGTATAAAATAGAATATTGCTTCATCAAAAAACTACTAGACCTGATAAATGAATTCAGTAAAGTTAGCAGGATACAAAATTAATATTCAGGAATAGGTAGCATTTTTATATACCAATAATGAACTGTCAGAAGGAGAAGCTAGGAAAACAATCCCATTTACAATTGCAACAAAAAAATAAGGTATCTAGGAATAAATTTAATCAAGGAGGTAAAAGACTTGTACTTGGAAAATTAAAAGATAATAGACAAAGAAATTGAAGAAAATACAAGTAAGTGGAAGCATATACTGTGTTCGTGGACACGAAAAGTTAACATCATTTAAATGTACAGATCACCCAAAGCAGTCACACAATTCCTGTCAAGATACCAATGGTGTGTTTCACAGAATTAGAACAAATATTCTGCAAATTTATATGGAACCACAAAAGACCCCAGATAGCCTCAGCAATTTCGAGAAAGAAGAACAAAATTGGGTGTATCATGCTACCTGATATCAAATGATAGTACAAGGCCATAATAATCAAATCAGCATTGTACTGGCATAAAAACAGACATATAGATCAATGGAACAGATAGAGAGCCCAGAAATAAATCCACACCTTTATGGTCGATTAATATTTGACAAAGGAGGCAAGAACGTATAATAGAGTAAAGATAGTCTATTCAATAAATGATGTTGGGAAAATTAGACAGATACAGGCAAAAAAAAAAAAAAAAGAAAGAAAGAAACTGGATTAACTCCTTGTACCATATACAAGAATAAACTCAGACATTTCTCGTAGCACTATTTCTTCTTCTTTTTTAAGATTTTTTAGTTTTTAGAGAGAAGGGAAGGGAGGGAGAAAGAGAGGGAGACAAATGTCCATCAGTTGCTTCTGTACATCCCTAACCGAGTACCCAGCCTGCGACCTAGGAATATGCCCTGACAAGACATCAAACTTCCGACTCCTCAGTTTACAGGAGGATGCCCAGCCCACTGAGCTGCACCAGTCAGGGCTCATAGCACTGTTTTTTTCTGATGTACCTCCTCAGGAAAGAGAAACAAAAGAAAAAATGAACAAATGGAACTATATCTAAGGAAGAAGTTTTTGCATAGCAAAAGAAACCATCAACAAAATGAAAAGACAGTTCACTGAAGGGGAGAACATATTAACCAGTGATATATCTGATAAGGGGTTAACATCCAGAATTTATAAAGAACTTACCACCAAAAAAACCCCAAACAACCCAATTTAAAAAGTGGGCAGAGGACCTGAATAGACACTTCTCCAAACAGGACATACAGATGGACAATAGACATATGAAAAGATGCTCAGCACCACTAATCATAAGAGAAATGCAAATTAAAACCACGATGAGATATCACCTCAAACCTGTCAGAATGGCTGTCATCAATAAATCAACAAATAAGTGTTGGCAAGGATGTGGAGAAAAGGGAACCCTTGTGTGCTGTTGGTGGGTATGCATATTGGTGCAGCCACTGTGGAAAACAGCATGGAGTTTCCTCAAAAAATTAAAAATGGAACTGTTTTGTAACCCAGTGATTCCACTTCTGGGAATATATCCAAAGAAACCCAAAACATTGATTCGAACGAATATATGCATACTTATGTTCACTGCAGCGCCTTTTGTAATAGCCTAGATTTGGAAGCAGCCCAAGTGCTCATCAGCAGATGAATAGATAAAAAATGCTCAGCCATAGAAAAGAAGGAAATCTTACCTTTCATGACAGCGTGGATGGACCCAGAGAGTATTATGCAGAGTGAAATAAGCCAGGTAGAGAAATACAAATGTCATGTGATTTCACTTATTTGTGGAATATAATGGACAAAATAAACAAACTAGAAACAGACTCATAGATACAGAGAACAGATTGACAGCTATTTGAGTGAAGGAGAGGGGATTGGGGGACTGGGTGAAATAGGTGAAGGAATTAAGCAAAAAAAAAAAAAAGACAAACCTCATAGACACGTATCAGTATGGTGATTACCAGATGGAAAAGAGGTGGGGGAGGTAGAAGAGGATAAAGGGGTAATAAATGGTGATAGAAGGAGACTAGACTATGGGTAGTGAACACACAATACAATATATAGATGATGTATTATGAATTGTACACCTGAAACATATTTAATCAACTAATATAACCCCAATAAATTCATTTTTTGCATTTAAAAAGAAATGCAAAAAACTAGTGAGATTTGCATATAATTGTTATCACTTTACAAAAATCTCCTACACACATTTTGATTATGCTGAATTTTTAGATCCTTTTAAAACTTAACTTGGAGTAAGAATTAATGTAAACCAGTCATTTGTTCCCAAGAAAATAGAAATGTGTTACTAAATGCCACATTTGTAATCTCATGTACTATTTCTTATCATGCAATCATTTGTGAAATAAAAACTAGAAAAGAGGAACACAACAATAAACATAGGAGGAATTATATCAGATTTGAGTACAATTAAACAGTGTTCTTCTCTCCCTCAATATTATTAAAATCATATTCATATTTTAAAAACTTTTACTTAAAATAAGTTCTCCCAAAATAAAATTTCTTTTCCAGTACATCATTTGAACGGTTTTAAGCATCAATACCATCAGATGATAAACAAAGAACTCACTCTCTATAATTTTGGGAAACATTGAAGTCTATGTCCTCCTCTTGGAGATTCACATATGTTGTTGAGATGCTAAAGATACAAAGAAGTCATATAGTAATATTTCCCAAATTTATTTTATCACAACCCTCTGTTTCATGTTATCACTTAATAACAGCATGCTTTAGGAGATATTTAGTGCATTCTTTATGCTTGTGATATATACAATTATTTCTTTTTTAAAGCAGGACAAAAGGAGCAAGCTGTGGAATGGTACAAGAAAGGTATTGAAGAACTAGAAAAAGGAATAGCTGTCATAGTTACAGGACAAGGTAAGTTATATTTACATTTGTTTAGGAGTCATGCAAAATTATATTCACATGATTACCTTGATTTTAAATCCAGTTATTTTAACAGAAGTATTTAAAAGTTTTAAAAATGTTAAATGTCTGTAGACTTAACAATTAATATGTTACTACCTGTGCTAAAAATGAAGTTTTAACCAGAGATGCTCAAACTTGATTACTGTAGCAGCCAAGCAAAAACAAGTATGTTACTTGGGTCCTTCTTGGCACCACTGTCGGTGATGTTTAACCCTGTGTTTTGCCATTTTTGAAACCTGTCCTTTCCTCATGATTGAGGCAGGGAGGAGTGGTTAATCCACAGACTCCCCTTTGCTTTTGTGAGTATTGCTTGACTTCATGTTACAATATGAGCTGTAAGTGTCTTACTTTGATTCACACTTGGCTTTTTAAAACCAAAGCAGTTCTTTCTTATCTTTACTTTCCTATCACCTCAAATTAAAAAAATGAGTCAATTATCTTTAAATATACAGATAACATTTATTGCACACTTACTAGATGCCTAAGCATTTTTGTACATGCTTCTCTTAATTTTCACCCCAACCCCACACTCTTGAGGCTGCTGCTGTTACCATTATTTTTCAAATACATAATCCTAAATACAAAGAAGTTATTAAGTAACTTTCCTAAAGCCTTATAGCTAACAAGTGGTGGGGTCAGGATTTGAACACCGGCAGTCTGACTTCAGAGCCTGAATTCTTAAATATATGCTGTGACTATTGTGTAGTACATGGGTATCATTATTAAATAAAGTACTTCAGTTTATCCTAACTAAAATAAAGTGAGAAGCAAAAATAATATGTAGGCTAAGAATCTTAGTCGCATGGATCAGTCCACCCAGTGGATGTTTGTTGTCTGGCTGGTTGATACTTGTATCAGTTAATCTCGGATAACTACAATGTATCCAATATTTTCCATTTTTTTTCTGTCCCCTTTTATTTTGACTACTTCTCTAGCTACTGGTCTACTTAGTAAGAGAGACCAGAATACAACAAGTAAATCTAGGAGGTTGGGCATTGGAGACTTTCATGAGTTTATGAGCATGACTTTGTGAATTGTGTACAAAATATACTTGCTGTTCTTTGTCAATTGCATAGAAGAATTTGAAGAAAATGAGCTGTTTATAAGAAGAGTATTTCACTGAATCAAAAGTGCCTTCAATTCTGTCACTAAGAGAAAAAAATAATGTCAAACTATGACACATTCTCTTCTTATCACTTAGAATTTGAATTTTAAACCTTATTGAATTTGCTGGCCTGTCATGTTTATGCATAGCTATAACAGCAGTGTTAATATCTGTGACCAAAATGGTGCATGCGCAGGCAGTGACAAACTATGTTATGACTGCAGCCTCACTGATAGCAGTAGTAAGTTGGCACTGGTTGTAAAACACATACCGATTTCAAAGATTTTAAAACGGGGAAAAATACGGCTCAAAATCTATGAATACCACAATAGGTCTGAAAACAGCCTAAGGAACTGTAACTTTTTTTAAAAGTATTATGTGAAAATAGTATTTTTAAAATTTTTTAATAGACTAATGACTTCATGAGATTACTGGGGTAACATTTTATCTTGAAGCAATATTAGTAGGGAAACATTGGATATTTTAATTTTTTTTCCTGTTTTTTTCTTTCAGGTGAACAGTGTGAAAGAGCTAGACGCCTTCAAGCTAAAATGATGACTAATTTGGTCATGGCCAAGGACCGTTTACAACTTCTAGGTATCAATGAATTATATAATTGGAATGACATGCATCTAAAATCTGTGTTCAATGAACTTTTAATGTAGATGGAAATAGATCAGTGATCTTGAAAATGTGACGTAGGCTTTTTTTCCTTAACTTATAGAACATTTCTAACATAAAAGAGAAGAGTATAATGATACTCACTTAACTTCAATAATTATCATCTCATGGTCAGCCTTGATATGTATACCAAAGGCTTGCATACTATAGCCCATTGGCTAACCCCAGTCCACTGCCCATTTTTATAAATTGTCAAACAGCTACTCTCATTTCTTTATATATTGTCCAACTGCTTTCATGCTACAGGGACAGAGTTGAAGAATTGAAACAGAGATCATATTAACTCTCAAAGACTTATAATGTAGCTTTTAAAAATATTTTAATATTTACTACCTGGCTTTTTATAGAAAAATTTTACAAACCCCTATTTATATCCCTACCCACTTTCTCCCACTTAATATTATTTTGAAACAAATTGTGACATCCTGTTACATAATTTATAAGTATTTCATATCTATAAAAAACAAAGATGCTTTAAAAATACCATTATCCATATAAAAATAACCATCATTTTCTTTAATATTAAAAAAGGACCAAAAATGGTCAGTGTCCAAATATAATTTATATATAATATCCAATTCATATCTCATCATTGAATAACGCTTACTATTTTTTTATAATTGCGTAGATCAGGATCTCAGGAAGATCCATGCATGGCGTCTGTGGGCAGTGTGGCAGAGGGCTCAGCATAGGGACGTGGGCAGCTTCAGACCTCTCCCTCAGGTCACATAACCAGTTTGAAAAAAGAGAGACCCTTACAGTGAATCTCTCTCTCTTTTTAAATTTTGTTATAAATTTTTTTAATTTAGTTTTTTAATTGTTGTTCAAGTACAGTTTTCTGTCTTTTACTCCCATCCCAGCCCACCCCCAGTATATCTCTTTTAATATACAAGTCCATCTAGTTTTCTGGGAGTTTACTTGTCAGTGAACCAGGTCTTTGCTCCATAGTCTTTCCTACAGTCTGACTTGTATGTGCATCTCCATGGTATCTTTCAATATGTTCTTCTATCCTACCTATAAATTGATAGTTGGATATAGAGCCTTGATTGTTATAAAAGCTAGGCATTAGCCCTGGCCGAGGTGTCTCAGTGAATTGAGTGCCTGCCTGTGAACTACATGATGGGGGCACATGCCTGGATTGTGGGCCAGGTCCCCAGTAGGAGGTGCTCCAGAGGCAACCACACATTGATGTTTCTCCCTGTCTTTCTCTCTCCTTTCCCCTCTCTCTCGAAATAAGTAAATAAAATATTTTTTAAAAAGCTGGGCATTAAAAGAAATAATATTTTGACCCTGGTCAGTGTGGCTCAGTTGGTTAGAGCATCATCCTGTACACCAAAAGTTAGCAGGTTTGATTTATGGTCAGGACACATACCTAAGTTACAGGTTGGATCACAGATTGGGCACGTATAGGAAGCAACCAATTGATGTTTCTTTGTCTGTCTCTCTCCCCCCTCCCCACCTTCCTCTCTCTCTAAAATCAATAAACATTTAAAAATAATAATATTTTGGATGTTGTTGTTTCTTGTCATCCTCAAAGTGCTGTGTACCCATTAGTGAAAGATGTTACTTTAAAAAAAATGTATTGGTTTTAGAAAGAGAGGGAGAGTAGGGGAAAGGGAGAGAAAGAAATATCAATTTGTTGTTCCATTTATGCATTCATTGGTTGCTTTCTCATATGTGTCCTGACCAGAGATTAAACCCACAACATTGGAATACCAGGATGACACTGTCACTGAGCTGCCCAGCCAGGGCTGAAAGATGTTACTTTTATTTTATTTTTATTTTTTGGAGTTTTAAATTTGATTTTATTTTTATTTTTTAATTATAATTTATTATGCTATTACAGTTGTCCTCATTTTTTCCCCCTTTGCCCCCCTCCACCCAGCACTCCCTGCTCCCTCAGGCATTCCCCCCACCATTGTTCACGTCCATGGGTCATGTGTATAAGTTCTTTGACTACTCCGTTTCCTATACTGTACTTTACATCCCCATGGCTTTTCTGTAACTGCTTATTTGTACTTCTTAATCCCCTTACCTCTTCACCCATCCTCCCCCTCCCCCCTCCCATCTGGCAATTTTCCAGTAACTAACTTCTTTTGGTTTTAAGAGTCTTTCTTTATCTTTAACCTTTGGCCTTTTAATAATGATATATCTTAAAGTGAGCCTCTTTGCATCCATCATAATTGGGCTCTCTGCTCTTCCTGGACTTGCATGTCTATTTCCTTCACCAAATTAGGGAGGTTTTCCTTCACTATTTTTTCAGATAGATTTCCAATTTCTTGCTCTTCCTCTTCTCCTTCTGGCACCCATATGAGGCTGTTTATACTATCCTCATTTTTTTTAATTCTTTTTTCTTGTTCTGCTTGGTGGTTTTTTGCTTCCTTATGTTCCAAATCATTGATTTGATTCTTGGCTTCATCCACTCTACTGCTGTTTCTCTGTAAATTGTTCTTTATTTCAATTAGTGTATCCTTTATTTCTGACTGGGTCTTTTTTATGTTGCTGAGGTCCTTACTAAGTTCCTTCAGCATCCTTATAACCAGTGTTTTGAAGTCTGCATCTGATAGATTGCTTATCTTCATTTCATTTAGCTCTTTTTCTGGAGTTTTGATCTGTTCTTACATTTGGGCCATGTTTCCCAAACATGGAAAGCCTCCCTGTGTTTGTTTCTTATATATTAAGTAGAGCTGTTTTGACTCCGTGTCTTGGTAGTGTGGCCTAATGTAGTAGGTATCCTGTAGGGTCCAGTGGCACAGCCTCCCCTATCCCCTATCACCCAAGTATTCGAGGTATGCCCTTTGTGTGGGCTGAGTATACCCTCCTCTTGTAGTTGAGCCTTGGTTGCTGTTGGCAGGTTAATGGGAGAAATTTACCCAGGGACAGCCAATCTGCAAGCATTGGCTGTGACAGTTTACCACCAAACTCTGACCTCTCTGGAGATTCATCTATCCAGGGGCAGAGAGGTGTTGCTCATGCATGATCTGTAACTGTCCACTGGGTGTTTTGGCCCTGTGGTTTCCTAGTTGGTATAGGCCAAGGTCAGCCCCAACCTGTGTTCTGCCTGGGGCCACCCTACCTGGGCTATAAAACAATCTGAGATGGCTGCTACTTGTGCTGGGTTTGGAGATTCCCAGACAAAGCTAAGATGTGGCTCTAATCTGCCTGCCTATAGGGCTCAGGGAAGCCAGCTTTTGCTTGTTTGGTAGGATTTAGGAGCCAAGACCAGCCATTGTTATGGAAAAGCAGCTTGGGTGGACCCATAAGTTGGGTGGGATAGAGTCTGTGGATCTCCAAGGTGGGTCACATAGTGTTACCCAGGTTAATGGAGTCTCAAATATGACATCAGCCTGCCAGCTCAGTGGGGGGAGGGCTCAGCAAAGGAACAATGGCCTCTGCTCACTGCGGTGCCAGACACTTCAGTTTCTCCCTCTACACCACTGGTGCCTTTCAAGCTGCCACCCTAGCGCAGGAGCTCGGAGGGAATCAGTCTGAGTGGGTGAGTCCATATGTGGGTTCCACAAGAAGAACTGCTTAGGGCTCCATCGGCCTCCTCCACTAACTCAATCCCACTGATTTTCACAGCTGGAAGTTGTAGGGACTTATCTTCCTGGCACTGGAATCCTGGACTGGGTGCCTGGTGTGGGGCTGGGACTCCTCATCCTGAGATATCCTTCCTGAATTTTTATCTATGTGGATGCCAGCCATTCAGAGCCCTCACCCCTCTTACCAGTCTGCATGGATGTAGTTTCTTCAATTCTGTAGTTGTCTCTGCCATTCAACTTGATTTCTGATGTTCCTGAGTGATGGTGGTTCTGTATTTTAGTTATTTTGATGTGCCAAGAGGCAAGCCGTGGCTACCTACATCACCATCTTGACTGGAAGCCTCAAAAAATGTTACTTTTAAAAATATGGGGTGGGATAAAATACATTAACATATTCCTGTTTTCTGAGAACTCAGATAGTCTGGGATTATATACATCAATGACAGTAGAAAAGAGCTGTGCACAAGTGCACAGTACAGCGTATTTGTGTATTATGTGCTGGTTAAGAAATGGAGCTTTTCGGAGGGGGGTTGCCCAGTAGTTATCTAATTAGAGTAGAGAATGATACTGGGAGTTCCCCAGACAGTCTCATTTGAGAGGATGTGGTCTCTTTGATAAAGTTGGAAGAGTTCATGTATGTTATACATAGTACTCCTCTCTGTCCACAGGTGATGCCTAAAACTGCAGATTGTACTGAACCCTATGAGTACTATTTTTTCCTATGCATACATGCTTATATACATGGGGGCATGAGGTTACCCTATTTTTTCTCCCGAAATTTGGCCTTGTTCAATGTTCACTTATAAGTTTATTAAGTTTATTCATTTATTAAGTTACCTCTCTCCAGGTAAAATGCCAAGGGATAAACTGACTTTATTAACTCAGCAAATATTTTTTGGGTGATTACCATGTCATAGGCATTTAGTATAATAGATTAGGGTCCCTCCTTCAGAGTTCATATTCCAGCAGGGAGAGACTAACATTGGCAGTAAACATAAAAATAAATAAATTATATACACTACATTAGAAGGTGGCAAATATGAGGAAAAAAGAAAAAGTAAAACACAATAAGGGGGATTAGGAGTGGATGGGAGATGGTTTGGATTGTTACTTTCAAATAGAATGGTCAGGGTATGCCTCTTTGAGAAGCTGACATGAGTTAGCCATGCAGGTATGGGGAAAAGAAAGGCCCAGAGAGATGTAAGAACCAATGCAAAGCCTTAAAAAAACACACTTGATATGTTTGAGAACAGCAAAGAGGCCAGTGTGCCCCAGCAAGGAGAGAGTCGTGGACAGGAGGTGAGAGAACTAATGGGGGTGGCTGTTGTCAGCAACACACAGGGGCTTGTAAGCCACCATGAAGATTTGAGCTTTCATTACCTGTGAAGTAGGGAGCAGTTACAAGGATTTTAAGGAAAGGAACAACATAATCTGACTTAAATTTTAAAAGGGTCACTCTTGTTACACTATGTTGCATAAGGGAGAACAAGTAGGACCACTATTGTAGTACATGAGGAGAGAAATGATAGAGGCTTAGACCAGAGTGGTATCAGGAGTAATAGTAAACGAGTGGTTGGATCTTGATTGTATTTGAATGTTGAACAAACAGATTTACTGATACATGAAATAAAATGTTCCTCTCTTTGAGGCTCTCATGACATAGTAGGGGAGGCAGATACACATAGATAAATTGTTACTGAATGATGGGATATACAAATATTTTGTAGGGGTGGGGAAATAGGTATCTAAGAACTCTTCCTGCCATGGCTGGTGTGGCTCAGGGGACTGAGTGCTGGCCTGCGAACCAAAAGATTGCTCGTTTGATTCCCAGTCAGGGCACAGGCCAGGTTCCCAGTTAGGGTCGTGTGAGAGGCAACCATGTATCTCTCACATATTGATGTTTTTCTCCCTCTTTCTCCCTCCCTTCCCCTCTCTCTAAAAGTAACTAAATAAAATCTTTTTTAAAAAACATCTTCCTCAAGGAAGTGAAGCGTAATGTGGGGATTTCAAAAGATGAATAAAAGTCTTTAAAGAGTGTTTGAGAAAAAGATGGTTCAGGAAGAAATGACAGCATGAACAAGACCCAGGAGCAAGAAGCAGTACAGTGAGTAGGGGAGAGTGCTGGTACAGATGTGAATTTTGGATTGCATGGATGACCTTGGTTGTCAGGTAAAGGAGCTTGAGTGCTGCTCTAGGGCAGTGGGAAGCTGCTAAAGGGTTTTGCGCAGGACAGTTATGTGGTAAGATTTTCCCTTCAAGTAGGTTATTATGGTATAGGGATTGCATATGAGGGGATGAGGAAGCAAGATGAGTGTTTTAAGTTATTGGTTACACAATGTTTAGTCATTCTAAAGAGAATTTTTAAACTAAGTTTACATTCTTTAACAAAAACAAATAGGAGCAGGGTCACATTAGCCGCGTACTGCTATTGTGTATGTGTGTTTCCATGCATATAAAACTAAAGCCTACACATTTAAAAAACAAGTTCTCTGGCTTTTTATTCCTAGTTATTAGTTATCAAAACTTGAGGATTTACCTTCTGTTTATTTTTATTCTATAATGAATGTTTAGGTGATCTTTTGTTACATTGCATTGAAGAGTGTTAATTGATAAAGAAGACGTTTACAAATCAGTGTTTTTTTCTAATTTATATCTTTTGCCAACACAAATGGTTTCTTTCTCACTATGGTGATTTGGACAGTATTATCATTGAGAAAAATCAGATGACCTACCTGTTAACTAACAACAAGAAGAAAAAAAAACCCAGCTCCAAGGTGTATTGTATCAGCCAGTTCTAGGACACAAAAGCTGTGCAGTACTTTGTGCTTTGTGCAAAAAGGGTAGCTGCTATTTAACCTGTCCCAAAAGCATGTGTTGTAGCATAAACCCAGCATGGCGCCTGCTTGTCTGACCTTAGAAATGGAAGTTTAGGAGAGTTAGTATAGATATGATATATTTTTGCATGTATTTATTAACTTTCTAGTATTAAAGAAAAGAATCAGTTATGATAACTTGGAATGTTTCGACAAAATTATGTAACATTGAGCCCCTATTGTGAATGAGGCATATGAGTCCCTATTGTGAGTAGGGACTTGATGTATATTGTTTTATTTAATCCTTGAGAGCCTTGGAAAAGCTAAAAGCCAGTTCATAACTGGTGAGTAAGCGGTGGAGCAGGGTGTTTGCCAACTAGCAGTATGGATTGACTTGGAAGGGGGAAAGAGTGCAGCAGTGATGTAGAGAGGCATGGAATTTCAAGCTGCTACCCTCTTAGGCTTCTGGTGCTGGATCATGAGAAAATTTGTTGTTAGTTGAAGTAGGGATAGGGTTGAAATAATCCTTTTCAATTTTGGGTTAATTTTAGGCACATGCCACAAAATTTTACAAGCTTAAGTATGATAGACAATCATTTCATGCTATGCTCCAGCCACTCATGACCCTTCCCCAGAGGCAACTTCTGTCACCAGTTTCTCTGGGTTATTTTTAGAGATAATCTTCATATACAGTAGTAGTCCTCCCTTACCCATGGTTTTGCTTTCTGTAGTTTGTTACCTGCTGCCAACTTCACTCTGAAAATATTAAATGGAAAATTCCAGAAATAAGCAGTGTATAATTAAACTGCATGCTGCTTTGACTAATGTGATGAATCTCACATCTTCTTGCTCCATCCCATCCGGGTAGAGAAGCATCCCATTGTCCAGTGTATCCACAATGTATATGCTACCTGCCTGTTGGTCACTTGGTAGCCATCTTAGTTGTCAGATCAGTTATCAGAGAGTGGGAGAGAGAGACCACATTCACATAACTTTTATTACAGTATATTATAATTGCTCTATTTTATTAGTTTATTGTTGTTCATCTGTTGCTGTGCCTAATTTATAAATTAAACTATTACAGGCTTGTATGTGTAGGAAAAAATATGTATAGGGTTCGGTACTATCTCTGGTTTCAGGGGCCCACTGGAGGTGTTGGAACATCTCCGCTGCAGATAAGGGGGGACAGGTGTGCATGAATAAGTCACAGGGTGTTGCACACACAGGTGCGAAGCACACTTCTTCCATTCTGCTTTATTGCCTTGTTTCTTGCTTGACATATATTAAGGTAACTAAATATGGCACTTTTTAGACACTCTATAGTTTCCTTTTGTATCATTTTAAGTGCTGTTCTTCTTTCTTGAAATGTCCTTTTCTCTTTTCAAATCATAGCCAACTAATAGCACACTTTTTCTGTAGAGCCTTTTTAATGTTCTCTTTCTTCTGTGCTCTACAGTCTTTTTAAAAAATTGTATTATAAGTTACCAATTATATTTAATAAGTATCTGGATGATAGAGACCAATATTCATTTTTTAATCTTCATGCTCTTTCTACGCAATGACTTAGACATACTAGATATTCAGAAAATATTTGCTGGTGATAGTAGAGAAATGGAGCTGCCTCCAGTTATCAAACTGACTAAGACATGTCTCTAACATACCTATTCATTTATTAATTTCTGTTGCTATTTTAATGTCTGAGTTTTTACTAATTATATTTTTAAGAGAAGTTTATATAAATGCAAGACTTTATCATGTAACAACCTTGTAACAACTTGAATCATTTTTCATCTTCACATATACCTTTTATTTCATTATGTATTTTTTCTTTTTGTTTATTTTGTTCTTTCTTACTGTCCTCTGTTGCATAGAGAAGCTGCAACCAGTTTTGCAATTTTCCAAGTCACAAACAGACGTCTATAATGACAGTACTAACTTGACATGCCGCAACGGACATCTCCAGTCAGGTGGGTTTAGGTTAACTAATATGTGAAATAATAAAGCCTGCATGCAAAGCCAAGTCCCACTTAACCTGATTGTGTTGATTTGATATTATAATGATAGTTTTGCTTGGTTTTTGTTTGCACAGGGCTATGTTGACAATACAGTATTTCTATCAGTAAGCATGTAAATGTGTAACAAATAAGGTATAGCCATGTTCAACATGCTTTGTTCACATAATTTACAAACTCGGATTTTTGAAATTATAAAATTTGAAGGCTCATTTTTTATTTTTCTATATATTTTTTCCTATTATATTTTCAGCTTTTGTGTTTTTAAATGGATAACTAAGTAGTGTTTTTAAGAAAAATTATCATTTTTTGTTATATATCAATTTTCATTGCATATCAATTTTCCTATATACTATACATAAATGTTTTACCATAGTACCTGTAAGAAAAAAAACTTGAAGCTCAGTTCACATACTGAGGAGAAACATTAGAATACTCTTTCTTATTATAGGTTAAATTTGTTTTCCACGAACTTTTGGGTAAGAACTCACAGAACATTAAATGTTTTTTTGTTTTGTTTGGGTGGGGAGAATCTTTATTTCCTAGGGTCTCTGACATCTTATCCAGTTTTATTGGTGACATTTTTAGGATTTGTTTTATGTCCAGGACTTAAATTTTATTGATGTATTACATTGCTTAAATTGTAGCCCAAAACAAACAAAAAATCTTAGTTCAGACTATAAGACCACTTATGCATATTAATACAAAACTTTTAAGATTTCCAGAGAGAAGAATTAGTTTAAGTGGATTTCTAAGGATGAAAGGAACAGTTGGTCATTAATGAAATCTTTCCATGTGGCTTTAACTATCCCTTTAAAAGAGTTCTCACTGAGGTTTGGTCTTCCAAACTAGAGCCCCACATCAGTAGCTATACGCCTTTTCTCATTTCTTCCTGTACCTGACCTAAAATACCATTTCACGCTGTGGTGAGGCAGCAGACCACGTGGGCAGGGCTGGCTGAACAGGAAACAGACTCAGAGCTCACTGTGAACTATAGCAGTTGCCATAGTGGAAGAAACTCCCAGTCTCACACATTGGAAAGTGGGCTAGAGAAGAGCAGGCGAGCTGCGTTGTTCCCTCTCTGTACTCTCCCCCACAGGCAGTTCTGCCACACAGCAAAGAGTGTTGCCCTGCCCTGCCCTGCCCTGCCCTTCCCTGGTGAATACCTAAGGCCCTGCCCCCTTACAACTTAACAGGTATGCCAAGACAAAGAAATATGGCCCAAATGAAAGAACAGAGCAAAACTTTAGAAAGAGAGCTAAACGATGAGGAGATAGCCAGCCTATCAGATGGAGAATTTAAAGCCCTGGTAATCAAAATGCTCACAGAACTGTCATTGAGCTTGATCGAAAAATGAAAAAACAAATGGGAGATACCCAAAATGAAATAAAGCAAAATATTCAGGGAACCAACAGTGACAGGAAGGAAACCAGGACTCAAGGCAACGATTTGGAACAAAAGGGGAAAATAAACATCCAACTGGAACAGAATGAAGAAACAAGAGTTCAAAAAAGTGAAGAGAGACTTACGCACCTCTGTGACAACCTAAAACGTCCCATATCCAAATTCTAGCCAGAAAGAGAACAACAGCAAGAAATTGAAAACTTATTTGAACCAAAATCAAGGAAAACTTCCCCAATCCAGTGAAGGAAATAGACTTCCAGGAAGCCCAGAGAGTTCCAAAGAAGTTGGACCCAAAGAGGAACACACCAAGGCACATCATCATTAAGTTACCCAAGATTAAAGAAGGAGAGAATCTTAAAAGCAGCAAGAGAAAAGGAGACAGTTACCTAGAGACGAGTGCCTGCAAGATTATCAGCTCATTTCTCAAAAGAAACCTTGCAGGCAAGAAGGGGCTGGAAAGAAGTATTTGAAGTCATGAAAGGCAAGGACCTACATCCAAGATTACTCTATCCAGCAAAGCTTTCATTTAGAATGGAAGGGCAGATAAAGTGCTTCCCAGATAAGGTCAAGTTAAAGGAGTTCATCACCCAGCCCTTATTATATGAAATGTTAAAGGGACTTATCTAAGAAAAAGTTAAAAAATATGAACAAAAAAATGACAACAAAGTCACAGCTACCAGCAAATGAACCCAAAAGAAAAGAAAAACAATGAAAACAAAAACTAATCAAACAACTAGAACAGAACAGAATCAGAGAACTGGAGATCACATGGAGGGATTTCAGTGGGGAGGAGGAAGGGAGGAAAAAATACCATTTCAAGTATAGAGGTAAATACTTTGAATGTTTCTCTTAGCATGGCCATGAAATGCTGACATTTTTACAAGGAACTTTTTGAAAAAACAAAGAAATGTAAGAATGCACCACATACAAATAGTTAAGCTTCCAGTATACAAATTTGAGATCCTAATAATTTTACTAGGATAAATAGCAAAAGTATTCTAGCCCCAAAGAGCTTGTATGCCTTCCTGATGTTATCTTGATTCTCTTCTACTTCATTTCACATGCAAATACAAAATCCTATTGTATTTTTCTGCCAAGCAAAAATTTCTAAATAACTTTCTCTTTCTGGGACCCATTAAAAAAAAACGAACTATCTTATTTCAAATCCATAGTAAGCTGTCTGTTAAATTCTGTTTTCTGGTTGGTGGGGCATACTCACTTCACGGCTAATCTGTGCAGCACAGCTGTTTGATACTAGTGAATGAGCTGGCTCCCTCAAGCCTAGTTTATTAGTGTCACCCACTTCTGGAACATCCTGTGATGTTTCACTTGGATGACTTTCTTATCTCTCCTAGGAAATAGTTTGTCAAAGTCTACTTACTACTTTAGTGTGTTATCTACATTGTCCATCCAGAACAGGAACAGAATCATAGATACAGAGATCATTTGGAGGTTATCAGCTGGTAGAGGGCAGGGGGGAGGAATGGGGAAAGGTGCAGGGATTAAGAAGCATAATTGGTAGGTGCAAAATGGAGAGGAGGAAGTTAAAAATAGTGCAGGAAATGGAGAAACCAAAGAACATATATATGCACAACCCATGGACATGAACTAAGGAGAAGATTGCTGGAGGAAAGGGGGTTACTAGGCAGAGGGGAAATATTGGGACTATAATAATGTAATCAATAAAATATATTTTAAAAATAAAAACAGCATTTCTATTCAGCATTAGTAGATATGCAACAAAGTGGGAAGGTGTTACCCTTACTCAAGAAAAAAAAAATTACTCAGTAGAACTGACTATTGACTGGGCCCAGACTGAATTTAGCAGACTAGGATTATCAGAACTGCAATTATAAACATATTCAAAGACGAAAAAAAATATCTCATCAGTTAACAAACCTACAGTCTCAACAGATAATATAAATTACACAATAAAAATAATGGAAATTTTGAAGTTAAAAAGTACAACCACTGAAATAAAAATTTACTAGATAGCCTCAACAGCAAATTGGAGATGTCAAATGAAAGATTCAGTGACCATGAACATAGATCAATAAAAATTAATAGAAATCAGATTGTTCAGGGCCAGGGTCAATAAGAGGGATGGAATACAAGTGGCTACAAGGAAACTTTTGGCTATGATGGAAACATTTTATATCTTGATTTTAGTGGTTATTTCACCATTATATATACATCTTATAACCTCATAAATTAGATTTCTTAAATGCTATTCCTGATTTATCAGTTTTTGATATGTATTATATTCTTATTCAGGTAGAAGAAGGTTTAATTCTCTTATGCCACTCTTTGTCTCCATAGATATAGATGTATTACTATTTTAATTGTACTTAAAAATTGTATTTAACATTAAGACTTAGTAAATATTGTTTGCCCCAAACTAAATATGTTAGTCTATTCTAACTATATTTCCTGTTTTGAATTTTTTCCTCCCCCACAGATCTTATGATATTTCTTGTTCTCCAATTTTATATAATAGTTTTTTACTCCTTTCTGTATTTGCTTTTTTCCCCCACATCAAAATTTTTATTTAGTTTATAACCTCCATTACATACTAAGTTATTTTTCAGAAAATAAGAAAGAAAAATATTTGAAAATTGATCTGGAAGTTCAGAACATGTTAATTGGACAGAAATAGAAACAAGTCCCAAAGAACACAACCATATTAATTAATATTAGAAAAGTAACTCCTAATATAACTAACTTGTGATTATGATTCATGAACTGTTTCATATTTTTCTGCTGCACTTTTGTGCCATGTGTCTAGCAAGCCGAAAAGTCCTAGCTATGGCTGGTAACACACAGGAAGATTCTATCAATGTTTTTGTAGTCAGAGGCTTCGTTGGCCTTGGCCCAGGAATCACTGGCAGACTGGCAATCCCTGGATTCAACACAGGACAGATTCTCAGGCAGTCTTGATCACCTTTAATTGAATTTGTAAGAGCAAAAAATGGACACAGTGGCTCTGCAGCAGAAATTTTAGGGAATGTAAAAATATGGGGTCCATCACCAATGTGGTGAAAGGAGGTGGTCCTCATATTCACATCCAGGAAAAACTCCACTCAGTAGAAGCAGGGCTGCCCTGACTGGTGTGGCTCAGTTGGCTGGGCATTGTTCTGCAAAGTCACTGCTTCAATTCCTGGTCAGGGCCCATGTCTTGGTTGCAGGTTTGGTCCCCAGCTGAGGCACTTACAAAAGACAACCAATTGATGTTTCTCTTTCACATCAATGTTTCTCATCCTCTCTCTAAAAGTAAATAAATAAAATCTCTTGAAAAAATAAGCAGGACTAACAATGAGAACAATCACAGGCATAGTGCTGGGTGAGAAGACATCTCTGCTTCTTGAACCCACAGTTCAAAAGCCAAATTATAAAGATAGTAGAATTACCCCTTGTCAATTAACCAATTCTTTGCAGTAGTATTAGCCCTTGTTGATTAAGAGATTCTTTGCAAATGCCCACATCCCATTCCTCGCTTGTTCTGTTTTCCACCTTCCAGTAATGGAGGCCAGAGGTGAACCAAAGAGAGAGCCCAGGACATAAATTACATGGTTGAATCTCTCAGCACAAGCCCTACACCTGTGTTTGAAACACCCACCATGGACACTCCTCAGGTCCTCAGAGATGATGAGTTAGTTTGTTGACTGTGTCAACATCCAAGGTCATATCCACTTGGAACTTCTGCATCTGCAGCTTCAGCTGCCGAATGGTTCTTAGCTGAGGCTCTAACTCCTTTGAAACCAACCTGCCTGGCTGGTTTTTGGATCTGATGTCCTTCTTCTGAAAAACCCCAGAACAAAGAGGGCACAGTACACTCTCCCTGCTGGGCTCTTTCTGTGGTGACTTGCACCAGAAGCAGCAGACATCCATGTTTCAGGTTCACATGGTGTTCAAGATAAGTCAGGCGGACAGGACATCTACAGGCTTTAAAGTGTTCGGCGACAGCTTCTGGCCTTCTTCCACTAGGTTACCTTCCTACTTCTTTCCCAGAGCTCATTTCTCTGTGTTTATTTACTTTTTAACAAAGAACCAAAACATAAAAAAATTCCTTTATTAGTTTCTTATTGTGGGTTTATAGGTAGTAAACTCTCTTAGTCTTTTTCATGTCTGAAAATACCCTTATTCCTATGTGATAGGTCACCTGGATGTAGAATTGATGCAGGTTTTTTTCAGCATTTTGAACATAACTATGTACTGACCTTTGTATGAGAAGTCAGTCTGCTCTTATTCTCATAGTTTATTGTGAAAATTTCTATTTGTAGTCTTAGGACTGTATATTTCTGTTTGAAGTTCTGTCTCCTTTTTTTCCTCTGAAATGAATGTCTTTACCCTACACAGATCTTGCTTTCATTTGTATCATTGCTTTTGCTTATTGTCATTCCCTTTTCTGGATTGCTTTCCTGCTTCTACCCTAAGGATCACTATTTAGTTCCTTGAAGATGTGGTTCAGAACTTTACATTTACTTGTAAATAAATTCAGTGAAACTTCTTGACCTCATTCTACTCTGAAGTTTCTCCCTTTGAGTTTCCTTAAACCGTATTGAGGGACTTGCTGACAAAGCAAAAATAAGACTTTTATCTTTTCAGGCTGCTGAATTTGCTGATTGATTTAACATTTGTCTTCATAGTAAACATTGTGTTTGAAAATATTATTTGGAAGCAGTGAGATTTGAACATTGATAAGGCTGTATATGTAGAAGAGAACTGTAGAGATTTCTGGCCAAGATGGGGGCATGGGTAGTTATACTTTGCCTCTTCACACAACCAAAAAAAGGACAACAACAAATTTAAAAACAAAAAACAACCAGAACTGACAGAAAATCGAACTGTATGGAAGTCCAACAACCAAGGAGTTGAAGAAACATTCATCCAGACTGATAGTAGGGGTGGAGATAGGCAGCCAAGGCACGGCAAGGCAGCGGCTAGAGGACCGGGCAGGCAAGGTGGTGGCTGGCAGTCCCTCATTTGCATGCGGATAAAGCGGGAGGAACAACTGAGGAGTGAGACAGACTGGGAAACCCAGGGCTCCAGTGTGGAAAAAGAAAGCCTCAAAAACATCTGGCTGTAAAAATCTGCAGAGGGTGTGGCAGCCAGAGAAACTCGCAGCCACACAGGAGAGACCACAGGGTTTTAGAACATACAGAAACCCACCCGCCTGGGAATCAGCACCAGAAGGGCCCAATTTGCTTGTGTGTGGCAAGGGAAGTAACTGAAAGCCAGCACAGCTGAACAAGCAGCACTGTTCCCTCTCAGACCTCTCCCCCACATAGAGTACCACAACACAGAAACATGGGTTGCCCTACCCTGGCAAATACCTAAGGCCCCGCCCCTTACAATGTAACTGGTGTGCAAGACTATGAAATATGGCCCAAATGAAAGTACAGATGAAAACTCCAGAAAAACAACTAAACCATGAGGAGATAGCCAACTTATCAGATGCAGAGTTCAAAACATTGGTAATCAGCATGGTCACAGAAATGGTTGAGTATGGTCCCAAAATAGAGGAAAAAGTGAAGGCTATGCAAAGTGAAATAAAGAAAAATATACAGGGAACCAAGAGTGATGGGAAAGAAACCAGAACTCAAATCACTGATTTGGAGCAGAAGGAAGGAATAAACATTCAACCAGAACAGAATGAAGAAACAAGAATTCAAAAAAATGAGGAGAAGCCTAGGAACCTCTGGGACAACTTTAAATATTCCAACATCTGAATCATAGGGGTGCCGGAAGGAGAAGAGGAAGAACAAGAAATTGGAAACAGTTGAAAAAATAATAAAGGAGAACTTCCTCAATCTGGGAAAGGAAATAGATTTTCAGAAAGTCCAGGAAGCTCAGAGAGTTTGAAAGAAGTTGGACCCAAGGAAGCACACACCAAGATACATTGTAATTACATTAGCCAAGGTTAAAGATAAGGAGAAAATCTTAAAAGCAGCAATAGAAAAGGAGACAGTTACTTAGAAAGGAGTGCCTACAAGACTCTCAGCTGATTTCACAAGAAACCTTGCAGGTAAGAACGGGCTGGAAAGAAGTACTTGAAGTCATGAAAGGCAAGGACCTACATCCAAGATTGCTCTATCCAGCAAAACTATCATTTAGAATAGAAGGGCAGATAAGTGCTTCTCAGAAAAGGTCAAGTTAAAGGAGTTCATCATCACCGAGCCCTTATTTTATGAACTGTTAAAGTGACTTATCTAAGAAAAAGAAGATATCAAAACTATGAATAGTAAAATGACAACAATCTCACAACTATCAATAACTGAGCCCCAAAAAACACACTAAGCAAACAAGTAGAACAAGAATAGAATCACAGAAATGGAGATCACATGGAGGGTTATTAGCAGGGAATGGGAGGGGAGAGAATGAGGGAAAAGGTAGAGGGAATAGGAAGCATAAATGGTAGGTACAAAATAGGGGGAGGTTAAGAATAGTATAGGAAATGGAGAAGCTAAAGAACTTACGTGTACAACCTATGGATGTCAACTAAGGAAAAGGGAGGGGAATGCTGGTGGGAGGAGGGTGCAGGGCAGAGGGGAATAAAGGGGAGAAGGAAATGGGACAACTCTAATATCATAATCAGTAAAATAGGCTTAAGAAATAAATGAAATTAATAAGCAAAAGAAACTGTAGGTAAGTTAGGTAATCTTTTAGACTTAATTGAAGGTATTCTATACATTTTTATTACATTTATAAAACAGCATATAAAATACTTGGCTTATTAAAAACCACATCTTTATACCCTGTACATTAAAAATTGATCATTTTAAAAACCTCTTTTGGTGGGCACACAATGTGGACTTTCCAGGTAATGTAATGCTGTTCTTTCTACTCTGTACAACCTCTCCCTAATGCCTATACTATATTTTCTTTCTTAGATGTTTGGCAAGTTTATTCACTTGGTAACTCTCTTATATCTTCCTCCTGTCCACAAATAAAGTTTCTCTTACTACAAACACATATTCTTTATAAGAAAATGAAAATCTCCATCAGGAAAAGGAAAAAATAATCCTAATTTCATCCACCCATTGAGAACCTTTATGAACATCCTAATATATATTCTGATTGATTCTTGTTTTGAAATACTGCTGGTTAAAAAAAATTAGCTTAGTTTTGCAAATTTATACTGGCTTTTATTATTACTTTTATAATATTTAACCACAATTTTCTAAACATGATGATATTACTATTTTCTTCATAGAAAGTGGAGCAGTTCCAAAAAGAAAAGATCCTTTATCACATACTAGTAACTCACTGCCTCGTTCAAAAACAGTTTTGAAAGCCGGATCCACAGGTCTTTCAGGCCACCACAGAGCACCTAGTTGCAGTGGTTTATCCATGGTTTCTGGAGTGAGACAAGGACCTGGTGCTGCAGCTGCCACTCATAAGGTATTTAGAGAGAGAATTTAATTGCTGTGCTTTTGCAAGTAGAAAATTGAACATGATGTGCTTGCTTCAGTTTATGACAAGTACTTTATAATACCTTAAATAATTGATAAGTTCCCACAAAGTTAAATGTAATTTTTCTTTTTTAAAAAATCTTTAGGGGGAACTTGCTATTAAAAAGCAAATTTTATTTCACCTCCTTTTGGACCTAATTAGGCTTTATAGTAAGTGTGCTTATTCAGTTTTATATATGCTATACAGTTCATTTTAAAGTGGTTATTCTTTTAATTATTTAAACCTATGTAAATGTTTTGCAACATTTACAAAGTATTTTATAAACACACTTAGAGTTTTGTTACAATTCTAACAAGTATCAAAATTATATGACTTCATTGTCATAGAGCCTTTAAAATAGTGACATAGAGTCACTTTTATAGTGACTGAATCTCTCTGGATAAAATCCTCTGTGAAACCATTTCATACCAAATGTCATTCTGTAGTGCATACCATTTTACCTTGGAGTAATATACATTTAAAAAAATTCTTATATTTCTTATTTTTAAATCTTTAATTCAATGTACTTTAAAATTAATTAGCATGTGAAAAGTGTAAATGTTAGGTTGTATTTTCACATTAAAATTTTATGTCCTTTAAGAGTACACCAAAAACAAATAGAACAAATAAACCTTCTACCCCTACAACTGCTACTCGTAAAAAGAAAGACCTGAAGAATTTTAGAAATGTGGACAGCAACCTTGCGAACCTTATAATGAATGAAATTGTGGACAAGTAAGTTTTGCCATCTAAAGTGTTTTATTTTACAGTTTTAATTTTGAATTTTATTTATAAAATATATCATGAGTGAAATAGATAATAAATACCTTCTCTAATTTACATATTTAATTTTTTGATGGTTTTTAATTTCTATAAATGTAGAAAATAATTGCCTTACTGATTTAACCATAGTTGCAAGTTAACATAAAAAGGTTATTGTTTCAAAAAGCTTAGGCTTCATTGTATAATAACTGAAGCATATTTCTATTGTGGAGATAACTGAAATTCTGTTTTTTAGTGGAACGGCTGTTAAATTTGATGATATAGCTGGTCAAGAGTTAGCAAAACAAGCACTGCAAGAAATTGTCATCCTTCCTTCTCTGAGGCCTGAGGTAAGGACTGTATATTCTCATTTTTCTGAATCAACATCCATTACTGAGACTATAGTAGCAATAGAGATGTTCCAGCTATGCTAGAATAATTCATGTAACAGTAGATTTAATGGTTTTGGTTTTTTTGTTTTGTTTTGTTTTGTTTTTTTTTTTAAGAAAAACCCTAGCATTTGCAGTTGACTTAGTAATTATAAGAGAAGAGAATAACTATATGGATTCCTAATTCCCAACACATTTTTAACATGAATAGAAGAAATAGGTAACAGGGTAAGAGGGATTTAAAATTAAAAGACAGGGCCCTGACCCATGTGGCTTAGTTGCTTAGGTGTCATTCCAGAAAGGAAAAGGTCGCTGGTTCGATTCCTGGTTAGGGCACACACCTAGATTGTGGGTTCAGTCCCTGGTCAGGGCACGTACAAGAGGCAACAGATCAATTCTCTCCTTCTCTTTCTCCATCCCTCCCCATCTCTATAAAATAAATAAATAAATAAGCTTTTTTAAAAAGTTAAAAGCGCCCTGGCTGGCATAGCTCAGTGGATTAAGCGTGGGCTGTGAACCGAAGTGTCGCAGGTTCGATTCCCAGTCAGGGTACATGCCTGGGTTGCAGGCCATGACCCCCAGCAACCACACATTGATGTTTCTCTCTCTCTTTCTCCCTCCCTTTCCTCTCTAAAAATAAATAAATAAAATCTTTAAAAGAAAAATTAAAAGCATTGAACTCAGATTAGATTGCTAAGGGCTTAGAAGGGTGGGGAATGAGATGTTTATCAAGGTTATAAGCTTTCAGTTATATGATGAATAAGTTCTAGGGATCTAAAGTTGAGCATGGTAAGTGTAGTCAACAATATTGTATATTTGGAAGTTGTTGTAAGAGTAGAGCTTTAATTTTCTTACCATAACAACAACAAAATGGTAATTTTGTAAGGTGAAGGATGTATTAACTAACTTTACTGTGATAAACATTTTGCAGTACATGTGTATATCAAATCATCACATTGTATACCTTAAACTTATGTAATGTTATGTAGAATATATCTCAATAAAGCTGGAAAAAGATTAAAAACAAAGAGGTACAGTATTCAACACAGTGTATCATTGACAAAGGAACAGACAAGTAGATCATAGAACAGAATACAGAACACAGAAATAGGCCCACATAAATATTGTCAAGTTATTTTTGACAGAGGAGCAAAGGCAGTTTAATGAAGAAGAGATAGTTTTTTGGACAAATGGTTCTGGAGCAGGTAGAGATACACATGTAAAACAATGAATCTAGACACACACTTTACACTTTGCACAAAAATTAATTTAAAATTAGTGACAGACCCAAATGGAAGAGGCAAACTAACTGTAATAACCCAAGGAGATAACATAGGAGAAAATATAGGTGATCTTTGGTTCAAGGATGACTTATTAGATACAACACCAAAAGCATGATCCTTGAAAGAAAAATTGTTAAGTTGAACTTCATTAAAATTGAAAATTTCTTTGAAAGACATTGTTAAGAGAATGAAAAGACAAATCACAGACTGGGAGAGAATCTTTGCCAAACACATTATGTGACAAAAGACTGGAATCCAAAATATGCAAAGAGTTTTTAAAACTCACCAGTAAGAAAACAAATAACTCAATTAAAAATTTTGGACTCATTTGGGCCTGTCTGCTTAGACTCAGTGGATTGAGTGTTGGCCTGCGAACCAAAGGGTCACCGGTTCTATTCCTAGTCAGGGCACATGCCTGGGTTGCAGGCCAGGTCCCCAGTTGGTGGCGCACAAGAAGCAACCACACATTGATGTTTCTCTCCCTCTCTTTCTCCCTCCCTTCCCCTCTCTCTAAAAATAAATAAATAAATAAATCTAAAAAAATTTTTTTTGACTCATTTGGGTAAATACTAGGCAGCATGATTGCTAGATAGTATAAGATTATGTTTATTTTGTAAGAAAGTTTGTAAGTGTCTTCCAGTGTGGCTGTGTCATTTTGCTTTCCACCAACAATGAATGAGTTCCTGTCACTCCACATCATCAGCATTTGGTGATGTTAATGTTATGGATATTAGCCATTCTACTAAGTGGGTAATAGAATCTTAATGTTGTTTAACTTGAAATTCCCTAATGACAAATGATGTTGAGTATTTTTTCATTTTTTCTTTACGTTTTAACACTTATTTTGCTCAATTTTATTTGTAACACTCATCCATGTGCAGCTATAGCTCATCCTTTTTCATTGCAGTATAATAGTTCATTGTATGCTTATACTGTATTACAGTGTATTCATCCATTCTTCTGTTGAGGGACATTCGGGTGGTTTCCACTTCAAAATTGTTATCATCGTTCATGTATACAACTCAGTTGCACAAGTATGGAGTTTTTCTAGGATAGATACATAAAAATTGCTATGACTTAGAACATGTACATTTGCTTTTTTGTATATAAAGCCAAACTATTTTCCAAAGTACTTGTATCATTTATAGTTCCATCAGCCACTTATGAGAGTTTGCATTCCTCCACATTTTTACTAAGAATTGCTATAGTCAGGAAAAAAAATGCTTTTCCTAATAATCGTAATTGGTTGTGGTTTTAAATTTGCATTTTCCTGATAACTAAGAGTATCTTTTCATATGTTATTGTCCATTTCACTTGTGAAATTCCTGTTTGTGTTCATTTTTCTATTAGATTGTCTTTTTGTAAAATATATTTTATTGATTTTGCTATTACATTGTCTCAAGTTTTCCCCCATGCCCGATACCCCCTTCCTTCCAGCAGTCCCCCCCTTTAGTTCATGTCCATGGGTCATGCATGTAAGTTCTTTGGCTTCTCCATTTCCTAACTATTCTTAACATTCCCTGTCTATTTGCACCTACCAATTATGCTTCTTTTTTTTTTAAATATATTTTATTGATGATGCTATTACAGTTGTCCCATTTCCCCTCTTCATTTTCCTCCACCCTGCACACCCTCTCCCACCCACATTCCCCCCTTTAGTTTATGTCCATGTGTCATAAGTTCTTTAGCTTGTACATTTCCCATACTATTCTTGCCCTCCCCCTATCTATTTTCTACCTACCATCTATGCTACTTATTCTCTATACCTTTTCCCCCCTCTCTCCTTCTCCCACTCCCCTGTTGCTAACCCTCCGTGTGATCTCCATTCCTGTGGTTCTGTTCCTGTTCTAGTTGTTTGCTTGGTTTCTTTTGGTTTTGCTTTAGGTATAGTTGTTCATAATTGTGAGTTTGCTCTCATTTTACTATACATTTTTTTATCTTCTTTTTCTTAGAGCAGTCCCTTTAACATTTCATAAAATAAGGGCTTGGTGATGATGAACTCTTTTAATTCGACCTTATCTGAGAAGCACTTTATCTGCCCTTCCATTCTAAATGAAAACTTTGCTGGATAGAGCAATCTTAAATGCAGGTCCTTGCCTTTCATGACTTGGAATACTTCTTTCCAGCCCCTTCTTGCCTGTAAGGTCTCTTCCTAGAAATCAGCTGACAGTCTGGTGGGAACTCCTTTGTAGGTGACCCTCCTTACCTCTTGCTGCTTCTAGGATTCTCTCCTTCATTTTTACTTTTGCTAATGTAATTATGATGTGCCTTGGTGTGTTCCTTCTTGGGTCCAACTTCTTTGGGACTCTCTGAGCTTCCTGGACTTCCTGGAAGTCCATTTCCTTTGCGAGAATGGGGAAGTTTTCCTTTATTATTTGTTCAAATAAGTTTTCCACTTGTTGCTCTTCCTCTTCTTCTGGTACCCCTATAATTCGGATGTTGGAACATTTCAAGATGTCCTGGAGGTTCCTAAGCCTCTCCTCATGTTTTTGAATTCTTATTTGTTCATTCTTTTCTGTGTGGTTGTTTCTTTTTTCCTTCTTGTCCACTCCTTTGATGTGAGACCCAGCTTTCTTTCCATCAGTATTGGTTCCCTGTGTATTTTTCTTCATTTCACTTATTGTAGCCTTCATTTGTTCATCTAATTTGCGACCAAAATCAACCAATTCTGTGAGCTTCCTCATCACCAGTGTTTTGAACTGTGCATCTGATAGGTTGACTATCTTGGTCGCTTAAAAGGATGGGTTCTGGGGCTTTCATTTGTTCTTCTGTTTGAGGCCTCTCCCTCTCTCCCTCTCTCTCTCTCTCTCTCTCTCTCTCTCTCTCTGTCTGTTTGGTTGCGCCTGTTACATAGCAGGGGCAGAGCCTTAGGTGTTCACCAGGGCTGGGCACCTCAGTCGCTGGGTTGTAACATTGTATGTGGTGGCGGGGTCGAGAGGGAACAATGGCACTTGCTCCGTTTTCCGTGGGACCTCAGTTCCTTCTGCTTCCCCCAAGCAAACTGGGCCTCTCTGGTGCCAGTTCCCATATGGGTGGGCTTGTGCACACTGTGGGACCCTCCAAGGACCTCTCCTGTGAGGCTGGGTGTCCCTCTATGTGCCTCAATTCCCACAGGTGCCCTTCATCAGTGTCCCAAGGCTCTATTTCCCAGCGCTGGGATCCTGGGTTGCGCGCACTGCCTTGCTTCACAATTGCCACCTCACTGGGTATGCCGGTTGCCACCCCTCAGCCAGCATCTGCCAGCCGCCACTTGCACACTCAGGGTCCACCCGCTGCGGTCTTGCATGCCCGGATGCCTTACGTGCCTGGTCCCAACTGTCTCTGCTCTCCATGCAGCGACCCACACCAGGCTGCCCGACTCTTCCCCTTTTGCCGGTCTGGATGAACGAGTCTGTTGCAACTTCTTGGTTGTCCAACTTCCATTCAGATCAATTTTCTGTCAGTTCTGGTTGTTATTCTGTTTCTAAATTTTTGTCCTAATCTTGGTTGTGGGAGGAGGCAAAGTGCATCCACCTATGCCTCCATCTTGGCCGGATGGAAGTCCATCTCCAGTTATGCTTCTTAATCTCTGTACCTTTTTCCCCATTTTCCCCTTTCCCCCTCCCAGCTGATAACCCTCCATGTAATTTCCATATCCATGATTTGTTTCCAGTTCTAGTGGTTTACTTAGTTTGTTTTTAATAGATTCAGTTGTTGATAGTTGTCAATTTGTTGCCCTTTTAATGTTCATAGTTTTGATTTTCTTTCTTAAATAAGGCCCTTTAACATTTTGTGTAATAGTAGCTCGGTGATGATGAACTCCTTTAGCTTTACCTTGTCTGGGAAGTACTTTATCTGCCCTTCCATTCTAAATGATGGCTTTGACTTTGGCCAAGATGGAGACGTAGGTAGGTACACTGTGGCTCCTCGCACAACCAAAATAAGGACAACAACAATTTAGAAACAAAATAACAACTAGAACTGATAGAAAATTGAACTGTATGGAAGTCCAACAACCAAGGAGTTAAAACAGACACATTCATTCTGACTGATAGGAAAGGCAGTCAGACGGCTGGGCTGAGAGGGGTCGCAGCACAAAAAGCGGCAGCACCAGCGCTCAAGGCACCCCAGGTGCCCAAGACCACAGCAGGTGGACCCTGGGCACACAAGCAGTGGCTGGCAGTCCCCAGGCATGGGATGGGAAAAGGCAGACCCAGCGAGGTGGCAATGGAGAAGCAAGGCACTGCGTGCAAGGCGGATGGCTGACCTGATGGTCCCACATTCGCGCGCAGATAAACCAGGTGAAACTGAGGAGCTAGGTAGACCGCACAACCCAGAGTCCCAGCATGGGGGAAATAAAGCCTCTAACACCGATCAAAAACACCTGTGGGGGTTGAGGCTCAGGGAGAGACTCCCAGCTTCACAGAAGAGTTCTTTGGAGAGACCCACAGGGTCCAAGAACGTGCACAAGCCCACCCACACAGGAATCAGCACCAGAAAGGCCCAGTTTGCTTGGGGGAAGCGGTGAAAGGGACTGAAATCTGAGAGAGAGCAGAGCAAGCGCTGTTGTTTCCTCTCGGACCTCTGCCCCACATACAGCTTCACAACCCAGACATTGCCACTGTCTGGCTTCTAGAGGTTTGCTCATCACTTGCCTCATTTCCATTTACTTCATCCGCTTCCTCTATGTGACTGGTGCCTTTCCAGCTGTTGCCCTGACAGTGAATCCACAGTGAGTTGGTTTGCCTACTTTCTAAGTCCATGCCAGCCCTGTCAACAAACTCTCCTGATAATCTGGCAGTTTCTTCTGCTGCCCCAACCCTCACTGGTTTTTACAGCCTGAAGTTACGGGTATTTATCTTTCCGGCACCGGAATCCTGGTCTGTGCGCCCTGGCTTGGGGCTGGGATCACTCGCTCCCAAAGTATCCCTACCGATTTTTATCCACCACATGTGAATGTGGGACCCCCCAAGCTGCCAACACCACTGCCACCTCTCTGTACCACACCAAATCTCCGTGCTTTTCTGCCCGCCTCCATGACTCTGACCTTCCTACCTTGTTGGGTTAATGTGACTTCTTTAAATTCTTGGTTGTCAAATGCTCATACAACCCTTTTTTTTTTTTAAGTTTCTGGGTGTTACTTGTTTTGCTGTCTAGTTGTAATTCTCTCTGTGGTTGTGTGAGGCAGCCAAGTGTGCCCACCAATGCCTCCACCTTGACTGAAAATCTCAAGTATTTTTTCACATGCATGTTTATTATCTGTATGTCTTCTTTCATGAGGTATCTGTTGAGATCTTTTTTAAAGTTTTTATTGATTTTGAGAGAGAGAGAGAGAGGCATCGACTTGTTGTACCACTCATTTACACATTTAGTGTTTGATTCTTATATGTGCCCTGACTGGGGATTTAACCCACAACCTTGCTGTATTAGGATGATGCTCCAACCAACTGAGTTACCTGGTCATGGCTGTTCAGCTCTTTTGCCCATATTTTCTTTTAATTGTTTTTATCCATTTACTTATTTTTGTCCATATAGTAGGATGTGAATTCCTCTTTCTCCTACATAGGTTCTAGAGGGAAGGGGTTCATGGGGAGGGAGGAAGTGATGAATAGATGGAACACAAGATTTTATAGGGCAGTGAAACCATTCTGCATGATACTGTAATAATGGATTAAATGATACAAACAGTATACCCTAATGTAAGCTATGGACTTTAGTTAATAATAATGAATCGGTATTATTCATCAGTTGTAAAAAATGTACCACACTAATACAAGATGTTATACTAAGGGGAAATGGGGGGGTGAGGAATTATATGGGAACTGCCTGTGCTTTTCATTCAATTTTCTATAAACCTAAAACCACACACAAAAATACTTTTTTAAGTTGAAAAATAAATATATAAACACATAAAAATTAAAAAGTTGAGCCCTGTCTGATGTGGCTTAGTGGATTGAGCTCCAGCCTGCAATTCCGTAGGTTCTCTGGTTTGATACCCAGTCAGGACACATGCCTGGGTTGCAGGCCACATCCCCAGTTGGGCACGTGCAAGAGGCAACTGATCGATGTATCTCTCTCACATAGATGTCTCTCCCTCTTTTTCTCCCTCCCTTTCTCTCTCTCCGAAAATAAATCAATAAAATCTTTTTTTAAAAGTTGAATATCAGCCACTTCAAATGGTCCCACTTAAAAGTTCATACACCTTTGCTATTAATTAAAACGTTAATAATTCTTGTGCTTCACCTTGAACCCTTGCCACATCCTGTGTTCCTGAGTCTGGAGACTCTGGTTTAATTTCCCTAGAATAAAACTCCTGCCTCCTTTGGTTGTGGAAGGGGAGCGCTTACCTAAGTGCTTTTGGTGTGGGGACAGGACTACAGATTAAGTTCTTCATTACAAATTGTTTTTTTTTTTTTTTTAATTCTCACTGGAGCACATGGTTATTGATTTTCAAGAGGGGGAAAGGGAGAGAGAGAGAAACATTCATAGGTTGCCTCTTGTAGGTTCCCTGAGTATGGCGACCGAACCTATAAGTTAGATATGTGCCCAGACCAGGAATGGAACCTGAGACCTTCCAGTTTATAGGATGCCACTCCAACCAGCCACTCCACACCAGCCAGGGCTCTTCATACAAACTTTTAAGCAGTTCCTGTGTTTTGAGCTGCCTACCTTACTGATGCTTTCTCTGGTACCTGATGCCTCCACTTCCTGAGTTTTTTCAGGGTTTTTGTTTGCATCAGCTTGCTCCTTGTATCCCTTTACAAGCAGGCACTTAGGTTTAAGCTCCCTCAGCTCTGCTAAATTATCACACTTCATCAGTTCTCCATCTACAAAAATCTATTGTGTCTTTTTGTTGTCTCTTTTCCTGTTCTTTTGTTTGGAAGATTTTTCTCTTTTTACTCATTACTATTATTTCACTGATAATTTCTAAAGGAAGTAGAGAGGGATACTTGTGTTCAGTAGTATGGCTTGTTTAACCCATTTGCTTCCATTTTGAGCAATGAGGATTCGGTTTTATATTTGTTTTCTTCTGTTTTTAATAATCATACTAGTTTATTGATTATGTGTTCTCAGCTCTGCTTTGGAGAATGGTACTGAAAAATGACACTTTTTAGATGACAAATAATTCTTAAAATGTTTGGGAAAAAGTTTCTCCAGAATCATAGTTGTATATATATTTTTAAGTTGTTCACAGGACTTAGAGCTCCTGCCAGAGGATTGTTACTCTTTGGTCCCCCTGGAAATGGGAAAACAATGCTGGTAAGAAATCTTTTTATATTTGTTCTTTATGACTTGCTTTTTGGTAATATACTTCACTAAAGTTTTTAAACTAGTTTTCAGTGACAAAATAGATGGAAAACCATATGTCCAGTCATATGTCGGTGCTGAGTAAATTTAACAATATAATTTGTTTATTGTTTCCCCAAATTAAATAATAAAATTTTCCCTTAAAAGAACTTACCTTAGTATATTATCTTCTTAACCCTTTATTTATTTATTATCTTAACAGCTTTATTTAAATAAACAGCATGATACAGATTTTTTTCTTTTTTTTTAATTGAAGTATAATCATACAACAGACTTTTTTTTTCCTCCAGTACACTTTTGCCAAACGTTTTCGCTGGGATCTAGATACCTCTTTCTCCTGCTTAACTTCTAGAAGGAAAAAGTAAAAGGGAAACAGTAACTTTTTTTCTTAGCTGTTTGTCTTTTTCTAACTGGTTATCTTTAGGAAGAGAATAACACCCTCTTTTTTTAAAATCCTTTCTCTATCCATTTTCCCTTATTAAAAGAAGGGAGTGTGGAAAGAAGCACAACTCTTCATAGGCCTTTTTTCTCATTGCTGAGAAGGAAACATTGCTGTATATTAGAAATTGTATTATACCTTATATTTTTAGAAATTGTTTTTGTGTGCTTAAATTGATCAAATATGTTTACCTTGTTAAAGCAAGATACTGAACTAATACAATATTTGCCTTTGTGATTTTTAAAGGCTAAAGCAGTGGCTGCAGAATCTAATGCAACCTTCTTTAATATAAGTGCAGCAAGTTTAACTTCAAAATATGTGAGTATTTTTTCCAGTATTGTCATGTTCTAACTTACAGTCTATTACTATGTTAAGTGTAAAGGGTAAAAACATTACACAAAAATATTTGTGAGTTTTATATCTATTATTCAGATATGATGACACTCACTCTTCATAGTAGAAAGTCATGTACATTCATTAGGGTCTTTTAAAATTAGAATTGTGTTGGCCCTGACTGGTGTGGCTCAGTGGGTTGGGCGTCATCCTGCAAAGTGAAAGGTTGCTGGTTCTATTCCCAGTCAGGGCATGTGCTTGCATTGCAGATTCCTTGTCCACTTGGGGCATGTGTGAGCAGCAATCTATGCAACCGATCGATGTTTCTCTCACATTGCTGTTTCTCTTTCTCCCTCCTTCCCCCCTCTCTAAAATAAATAAAATCTTTTTTTTTAAACAAAATAAAAAAAATAGAATTGTGCTGTCAAACACTACATTAGTTTTCTAGGGCTGTGTAACAAACTACCATAAATTGGCTGGCTTAACAGAAATTTATTATCTTATAGTTTTGGAGGCTAGAAGTCCAAGATCAGATAGATGTTGGCAGGGTTCTCAATTTTATAAAGTAATTAAAAGTAACTATAGCTCTAGCTACCGTAGCTCAGTGGGTTGAGTGCCGGCCTTGCCAATTCAATTCCCAGTCTGGGGCATATGGCTGGGTTGTGGGCCAGGCCCCCAGTAGGGGTATGTGAAAGGCAGCTACACAGTGCTATTTCTTTCCCTCTCTTTCTCCCTCCCTTCCCCTCTCTACAAATAAATAAATAAATAAAATATGTTTTTAAAGAAACTATAAGCAATACCTCTTTTCCTGGTTACATTTTGTTGCCTTTGTGAAATTTTATAAATAAAATTGTTATTAATGTAGGTTATCCAACTATGCATGTAATATAATGGAAAACACTGTCTTCAAAGTTCGAAGATAGGGATTCCTACATAGCTTTTCCATCCTGAGCTGGCCTGAAGAAAGTATCACTTCAGGCCTTGCTTCATTTGTAAAGTATTGATGTCATAAAAGGGGATCTCTTGCCGGTCCCTCCAGCTCTGAGAATATTTGTTTAATGATTCTAGGGCCAGTTGTTTTTTCATTTTTTAATGAAATTTTTAATAAAAACAATAGATGCCACCTAGAGGACAGAAGAGTTTTTACAGTAGATTACCCCTAACCTCATGACCCTTTCATTCAATGCTTCTGTGTATAGAGTTTTAGTATAATGTTTAAAGGGGTGTTCATAGACTTCCTGAACTACCTAAAAATATTTTTATATTTATTGGCATTGATATTGTGAGAATATGTTTTCAAGGTGTTCTTAATAGAAAAAGTTTTGTTCAGTAGAGCACTTTCTTACCTATCTGCTTTTATAAACGTACCCTGCAACCTGTGGCTTAAGGAATATGTATACCATCTCTTTCTCTCCTTTTGTATTTTCTCTTCCCACTAGTTTTACCTTTGAGTAATAGATATTTTATTCTTAAGACTTAGTGTTGAGAAGTACGGTGTCAAAACAGAGATATATTTTATTTTTTTATAGTACTTAACAGACTGCATTAAATAGTAAATAAGTGGTCTGTTTTCTAAAATTATAAGGGATATTTCAGTAACCTCCCTTATCTTCTTCCTATTTCCTTAAACCAAATCTAGCAAGGAAGGGAAATTAAATGTCCAGGTTATAGACTTTCAATCATGAAATTTTAAAAGCTGGAATAATGTTAATTTTTATGTCTATAATAATGTGCTATGCCTTATTGTAGGTGGGAGAAGGAGAAAAGTTGGTGAGAGCTCTTTTTGCTGTGGCTCGAGAACTTCAACCTTCTATAATTTTTATAGGTAAGAAGAATATGTTTACCAACTGAGTTAGTTAAACCTTCATGAAATATCCCTCTCCAAATATAAGAGGTAAGATAGGAACAAGTACAAGTATTCAGAAGGAAAAAGTTTTAAAGAAACACAAAGTTAAAGACTATCTAATGAACTAAGACTCACTATATTAATAATTTAAATAGTGAACTAGATTAATCTCAGATAACTCATATAGCTTGGCTTTTAATTCAAGTCTTATCCTTCTATTTCCTCTAGATGAAGTTGATAGCCTTTTGTGTGAAAGAAGAGAAGGAGAACATGATGCTAGCAGACGCCTAAAAACTGAATTTCTAATAGAATTTGATGGTGTAAGTATAGATTGTGATATTATTAATGTGGTAACATTTTAATGTATATATTTTTCTATTAAAACACAGGTTAGAAATACAGATATCTTTATTAATTTTTTGTTATTACTTTCTGTAACAGTACTAAAAACAATCTTTTGGCTTATAGGTTCAATCTGCTGGAGATGACAGAGTACTTGTAATGGGTGCAACTAATAGGCCACAAGAGCTCGATGAGGCTGTTCTCAGGTGGGAAGACTTACGTAGAAACACACATTTATCACAGATATGTTTAGTCATAAACATCTCATATTTCTTATTTCCTTCACTTTCAATTTGGAAACTGCATTAATTATTTTCCTCCTTATAACCATTCTCTGGCCTCTAATAAACATTTTTGAGGACAGGGCCAGCAGGATATCAGGAAAACTACTTTTCATTTTATGGCTGTAGGCAAATTGCTTATTCTTTCTGGGTTGGATTAAATTATCTTAAATTATCTTTGAATTATCCAAAATCAAATTTTACTCTTTTTTATTGGGCTTTTTGAGAAACTGATAAAAGCCAGATTCTTGGAAACTGTGTCATTTTCTCTGTTCTTGTGTGTTTGAACAAATTTGTCCCCTTCCTACTGGGAAGAAAGTTTGACCCAGCATAAAATTATTGGCCTCTCTTTTTTTTCCCCTGAGGAATCTATAACGTTGCCCTATTGTTTCTGGGGTTGGATGTTGCCTGCAAAAGTCTGAAGGCAGCCTACTATTATCCACATTCATGGATGAACTGGATTTTTTCTCACAGGATACAGTTTTCAATATTGAAATCTAGTTATTTGAAAACTGATGTTGATTGGTTTGTGTTTATTTTTCTGGGATTTGGTGTTTGTTTAAATTCATAGTTTGGGCCCTGGCTTGTGTGGCTCAGTGGATTGAATGCCAGCCTGTGAACTAAAGGTTCTCTGGTTCACTTCCCAGTCAGGACACATGCCTGGGTTGTGGGCCCAGGTCCCCAGTAGGGGGTACATGAGAGGCAACCACACGTTGAGTTTCTCTCCTTCTCTTTCTCCTTCCCTTCCCCTCTCTCTAAAAATAAATAAATTCATAGTTTGAAACCTCCTTTGTTTTGGGAAAGTTATCTTTATTTTTTTTCCTTCTACACACAATTTACACAAAATGTTGCATCTTTTTTTCTTCCATATCTATAATTTCCTTTCTAATCCTTTGAACTTTTAAGTCTTTTGTGTTTTGTCTCTTTTCCTGTTCGTTTTTATTTCTTACCAGGTTGGTGTCTAATCTTTTAGCTACTACTTTTGTAACCTTTGTTTCTCTGTTGGTTTTTGTTTTCTTTCTCACAGCTTTCCTGGTCTCTCTGATCCATTTTTTTCATCTTCTTCCATTGTTTTATTTCCTGAGCCTTTGTACGATATGTCATTTCCTTGAGCCCTTATATCTCATTGAGCTCATGTTTCATAGAAGACTTTCTTTTCATTAAATTATTATTATTATTTTTTAAAAGATTTTATTTATTTTTTAGAGAGGGAAGGGAGGGAGATAGAGAGAGAGAAACATCAATGTGCGGTTTCTGGGGGTTATGGCCTGCAACCCAGGCATGTACCCTGGCTGGGAACTGAACCTGCGATGCTTTGGTTCACAGCCTGCGCTCAATCCACTGAGCTACGCCAGCCAGGGGTTACCTAGTTTCTTGATGTGTACTTTTCTGTTTCCTTTGTACTTCTTGGTTTTAGTTGTTTTTAGTTTCAGAAGGAGAGCAAAGATGTCTCTATTAAAATTATTATATCAAGCTCTGGCTGGCGTAGCTCAGTGGATTGAGCGCGGGCTGCAAACCAAAGCATCGCAGGTTCAGTTCCCAGCCAGGGCACATGCCTGGGTTGCAGGCCACGGCCCCCAGCAACTGCACATTGATGTTTCTCTCTCTCTCTCTTTCTCCCTCCCTTCCCTCTCTAAAAATAAATAAATAAATAAAATATTTTTAAAAATTCTTATATCAGATATTTTATTTTAAAGTGTTATTACTATTAAAAATACGCACATACCTAAATGGTTAACTTAATTCTGACAGTATTGAATTAAGGATTTTTAAATATTAACTAGGGAGTTTTAAAAGAGTAACTCTAAAAATAACTTTTTACATTGATGACTAAAATGCATTCGCATGCCTTGAGCATTATACTTAAAGCTTTTTTCTTGTCATTTGCTACTTAAACTGAGTTACCTTTAAATGCAGAATCACATTACTGAATTGCTTGAATCCTTCTTTTAGGCGTTTCATCAAACGGGTATACGTGTCTTTGCCAAATGAGGAGGTATGTATCTGTGTGTGATTTTTTTTTTTTAAGCAGAAACAAGAACTGCCACCTTGACAATATTGAGTCTTCCAGTCTACGGAACATCCACTTTGGAAAACAATCTTGCAGCTTCTTATGAAAATAAGCATAAACTTAGCATAACCCAACAACTCCATTCCCAAAAATCTACCTAAGACAAATGAAAGTATATGTTTATAGAAAGGCATGTACAAGAATTTTTATAGCAACATTATAAATAATAGTCAAGAGTCTAAATATTCATTAATTGGTGAATGGATAAATAAATGAGGTATATCCATTTAATGGACTAGTATTTAGCAGTAAAAGAAATGAGCTACCTTTATATGCTATAATGAGGATGAACCTCAACCACGTTATACTAAATGGAAGACGCCAGATGTAAAAGCTTACACATCATGCATTATTCCATTTGTATGAAATGCTCAGAAAAAGTAAATTTCTAAAACATAAAATAGATTGTGATTTGTTAAGGCCTAAGGGTAAGAGTGAGGATTAACTGCAAGTAGGGAGGGGGTGAACTTTCTGGGTTGATAGAAATATTCTAAACTAGATTATGGTGATGGTTGCAAAACTCTACATTTAAGTCATTGAATTATAGACTTACAGTGTGTGAGGTACATGTTATATGAATTCATACTTGTATAAAACTTTTTTTTTATTGTGGTTGTCTAGTTTAGACCTTTAACATCCTTGATAGTAACAGTAGCTATGGTCTTAGTGATTTATTTGGATTATCTTTACCTCCCTCAGGAATTCTCAAAAAGTGGTAGTTTAAAACAACATGAGTGAGGCTCTAAAAGGTAGAGTGATTTATGTAAGATCATTCAGCTCCTAAATGAGTTGGGATTTGAACTTGATTCTTGGAATTTTATTAAGCTAATTCTTAGGAATGATAATCTTTTAACATTTCTTTTCAGACACGACTACTTTTACTTAAAAATCTATTATGTAAACAGGGAAGCCCATTGACCCAAAAAGAACTAGCACAACTTGCTAGGTGAGTAATTTGATTTGGTCTATTGTACAGCTTTTTTTTTTTAACCTGTTTCTGGGGGTATAAAAGGACTAAATGGTAATGAAAAAGATATAAAATTTTTTTAAAGAAATCTTTTTCTTTTTTGTTTAAGTTCAAGTATAAAATGAGTAATCTGAAAATTTGTCTCATCTTCTGCTTCCTGTACTTTCTTTCTTATCTCCTTACACATAAAGTATCTACATTTTAATTTCTAGATCCTGTATAAGACATGACCTAAATATCTATGATAGTATTGTATTCTTTTTATAAACATAATAAAACTTCTAAGTGGTATAATAGTAATTTTAAAACTTTAAAGTATCTCGTATGTGCTCACATGAACACGTTTTCATATAAACTTCTTTTGCATTACACATAATTTTTTAGCATTTACATCTTTAACTTTTTTTCATTGATAGAATAAATTTTTTAATTTTATTTTTTTAAATCAATGGTACACTCTAGTAGTAACTTGAATATAGAGGATGCGTTCATGAATTTTAATAACTGGAAAAATCTCAAAGTTATTTAAAATACTCAATAAGTATGTGAGTGGCTAGTAATTTTAGTAAACACTCTGATAACTATGATAACTATGAACAAACAGATTCATCTTTTGGAAATACTGAGATCATTCTTGACATTCCAATAAAGAATTCTGCTAATAATGTCTGATCTGTGTAGTTATTTAACATAATATTAATACATGATAAGTGAATACTTTCTTTCCCTGTTTTATTTTCCTCTTCCCCTTTGCCTCCCTAGTTCTTAGTTCCCTTTGATAATCTCTTGGCTGCCCAGGATTCTCTACTGTGGCATCTCATTCAGGTGTGCCCATTGTCTTCTACCGCAGACCCTTCCTTCACCTGTCCTACATTTTTAAACATCTACTTTGTGATGTATTATAGAATTATACACTGGAAACCTATATAATTTTATTAACCAATGTCATCCCAATAAATTCAATAAAAAAAGTTAAAAATAAGTAAAAAAATAAAAGCAAAAAAACAATAATAAAAAATAAAAAGAATCTACTTTGGCCCTTATTCTATCAAGTCAGTGCTCTTTATCAAGACAAAGACTCATTAACTTACACAGAAGTAACTGGCTGTGTGTCAGTTGGCCAGCAATGGCTTATAGGTGTTATTACCTTTACAGGGGATGTGTTTACAGTGTAATAGATACTCTTGGAGATGATAGTATGTATGTGTTAATCTAAAAGAATGGTTGCAGCCCTGGCTGGGCTGCTTAATTGTCTGGAGTGCTGTCCATACACCAAAAGGTTTTGGGTTCAATTCCCAGTCAGGGCACATACCTAGGTTGCAGGTTTGGTCCCTGGTTCGGGTACATATAGGAGGCAGCCAGTCCATGTCTGTCTGTCTGTCTCTGTCTCTCTCTCCGCCCTCTCTTCTTCTACCGACTCCCTCTCTTCCCTCCCTCCCTTCCCCTCTATCTAAAATCAATAAACATATCTTCGGGTGAGGATTTTTAAAAAATTTAAAAGAACAGTTGTAATATTGAAAATCTGAGGCATTATAAATGAGGAGCCAGCAGTAGACTGTTTTGTTTCTTTATAGCAAGTGGGCCTTTCTGTGCTCTTAGATTACATAGCAGCCTGGTTAATGACAAAGGTGAAGTAGGTTTTATCCTCTTATTACATGGAGATTTTAAATCCGCAAAGATGAAAATAATTTGCTCTTTTAACCCATTCTCAGAATGACTGATGGATACTCAGGAAGTGATCTAACAGCTTTGGCAAAAGATGCAGCTCTGGGTCCCATTCGAGGTATGTGTACAAGACCTTGAAACATTCATAACTCTTCATTAGACCACTTTAGAAGTTTAAGAAGTCCCTATGGAGAGATCTTTATTAGTAGGAAAGCACTGAAGTCCTATCAGTGGAAAACTTCAAACAAAGTAGTTTCTAGACTTAGGTCAGCAAATTTTCCTGTAAAGGGCCTAATAGTAAATATTTTGGTTTTGTGGGCCACATATGCTCTCCATTGCATATATATTTTTAAACAGCAACAACAACAAAAATAAAAGCCAAGAATGTGAAACTGGTTTTAACTCACACACTATACAAAGACAGTCCATGGGTTAGTGGACCACGCCCCCTTGTTCAGACAACGGGTTTCACTTGTTGATAGTAACTAAGCAGCAAAAAACTGAAAGAAAATTTTTCAAGCAAGCAAAAAAGAATATTAAAGGGAAAACATTCTTAACATTTTTTGTGCTTTTCATTTCAGTATTCTAATATCATTTGAAATTAATATGTCTAAGGGAACTCATATAACTATTATACTTTTATCATTATATGTTAACTTTTGAGGAATTGCTTGTTGATTCTGAAAAGCCACAACTGATCATTTTTAGGTTAAGTTACATTAAACTCACTATGATCTCACTTACAGTAGATGTTCCCAGCTACTTTTCCACAGCCAGCATAGTCAGGTATACGCTAAGATTACTGGCTATAATGATACAGTAGAACATGGAACATGAAACTTCCAGAATACATCTACAGTGAAACAAGGTACTGAATTAGAGCTGCTGCTTTGGAGAATACTAAATGTAACTTTGAGAATGTATTTTGAAACACCGAGTAAAGCATTTTAGTCAAACTTTCTTGCTGCAAGCCTTGTTCAGATAGAGACTGAGAAACAATAGCTAATATATAAATCATTTCGATTTTTAGAAATTTTATCTATTTTCTAAAGCAGACAAAAGTTGTAGATTTAAAAAAAGCTAATGCTTTTTTTTGCAAAAGTTGCATTCTTTTGCAACAATTGTTGCAAAAGTTGCATTCTTTTAAGTTTACTCTTGAATTTGTGAAATTTTTTGTTTTTGGACAATATCCAAAAGAAATTGAATGCCTTCCAGTTACTACTAAGAAGGAATATTACTCTAAGCTTTTACACATTGTATGTGCTCTTTATATATGTCTCTTTTATTGATGATTTATGTTGAACAGATACTCTTAGGTCATTGTACTTGGTTTTGCTCTTCAGCATTTTAAACTTGAAAAAATTTTAAGTGGTTGATTTTTATATTTTACAGAACTGAAACCAGAACAAGTGAAGAATATGTCTGCCAGTGAGGTATACTATTTTACAATTATCTTTTCTTACTTTTGGTCCTCTTTGTTATAAGACAAATATTTTTTCGGGATTTTAGAGTTTGTTTGATTAGAAATTAGAAAAAAATTTACTTTGCTTCATTTCAAAATGTGGAGACCTATTCAGTTACAGTATCTTATGTTGTTTATGGATAATGGACAAAAATATTGTACACAGACATTAAATCATTTTCTAACAATTCATATTGTATAAATACTAAACAAGAAAGCTATAGGAAACAAAGATTTTGTACATTATGAAAGTACCTTGTAACATATTAAGCCTTTGATGTTCTATTTTGTTTTTCAATGTTTTTCTCCTTATAAGAGCAATACAATTATCATTGTAATGCAATTTATTATATTTTCTTAATATGGTAGGTCCTCTTATGAGATGCTAAAGAATTTCTTTTAAAAATTAGTGCCTACCTATGAAATATAAAATTGGAAATGCGGAATAATAACTATGTGAACAAACTTTTAAAATCAACTTGCATTATATTTGTAACGTATTTTTTTAAACTTTTACTTATTTATTTATTTTTAGAGAGGAGAAGGGAGGGAGAAACAGAGGGAGAGAAACATCAATGTGTGGCCTCTCACATCCCCCCTACTGGGGACCTGGCCTGCAACCCAGGCATGTGCCCTAACTGGGAATTGAATCAGCAAGCCTTTGGTTCGCAGGCTGGCACTCAATCTACTGAGCCACAGCAGCCAGGGCACACTGTATTTTTTTTATTGCCCAAGTTTCAATAGCTACTGAGGAGACATTGAACTCTTACAATAGAGAACAAGTGCATTTTGGCAGACTTCTTCAAACTTTTAAGTGAACTTGATGTTGTCTTCAGGTATTTTGTATATTGTGCATAACCGCCTCTATTACTAAGTCCTCAAACTTCTTGCAGCCACCCTTCCACTTTAACAATTTAGTTTACCTAAAGTGCATTTCACATGCATAGGAGAAGTAGGAATAGAGAATTCCATGAACCCACTCCAGTGTTCATCTACTATTACCTTAAAAATTTACATTTAAAGTTACATAAATTCCAGGTCCCTTTTATCTGATTCATAATTTTAATTCCACGTTTTTTCTGATTTTTAAATATGTAAGTACTATACAACTTGTGTTCCCAAAGTGTCTTAGGGGTTTTTAATATTTTGCATATACTTTATTAAGAATATCCCATAATACATTATTTTTTAAATATTCTTATGCTCATAGCATGAACTTAATAGTACTTTTATTTAAAATATTTTATTTGTTTATTTTTAGAGAAGGGAAGGGAGGGAGAAAGAGGGAAAGAAACATCAGTGTGTGGTTGCCTCTTATGCACCCCCCACTAGGGAACTGGCCCACAACCCAGGCATGTGCCCTGACTGGGACTCGAACCAGCAACCCTTTGGTTCACAGGCTGGCATTCAATCCACTGAGCCATACCAGCCAGGGCTTTAATAGTACTTTTCAATTCAAGAAGTAAGCATTGAGCAGGAATTATTCCTTTCCACACACCACTCCCCCTGACTTGGATCCAGGGCAGGTAAACTTGATATCTCATACTCTGGCCTCCTATATTAAGTTTGAGGAAAGGCCCATTGTGTGACATTGTAGGCCTCTGTCCCTTGAAAAGACCAATAAATAAACTAGTCAAGGCAAGAATGACCTAAAACCACCAACTCTCAAATAAATTTCAGTAAGAAGTAGTGTACAAGTTCTCAAGTGACTTAGCAGGCAGAGTCCACTCAGCCCCACATCTGTAAGTGTCCTTCACTCTGTCTCAAGCTCCTAGGCCACGGCATTTTATCTGAACATCCTCTGGAGGACTGTTCGCTTCTACCTATAAATGGAATCAAATGCTTTCATACACTTTCATTAATATCTTATATAATTTATGAAATGAAGGAGGTGGCTGATTAGGGAATAATAGGAATTCTTAGGAAACTGTTATTTCATAGTTAACCTTTTTGTATATATTACCTATCCTAAGAATATACATACAATCAAACTTCAATAACAGTTTTCTTTTTCACTGAACAAAGTCAACCTAAATATAGTTCTTGTTTTATTTGAAGAGTAATTTTGAGTCTATGTTCTTTTTTAGTAGCTTTTTTCTTATGATTATAAAACAAGGTAATTCTATTGTCATAGGTATTTACAACAAAAATTTACCCCAAAATTTAGCAGCTTGAAACAACACATTATCTCACATTTTCACAGAGTCAGAATAAGGCAAGTCCTCTGCTTCAGGTCCTCTCAGAAGGATGCAGTCAAGGTACTGGCCGATGGTCTCTTCCAACGCTGGAATCAAGATGTTGGCTGGCACTCTAGTCTTCGCAAGGCTCAGCTGGGGAAAGATCGGCTCTAAGCTCCTTGGTGTGATTCTTTGCCAGATTCATTTCCCCTCTTGGGTTGTTGGGCTGAGAGCCTCAGTTTTCTCTGGCTATTGGCTGAAAGCTCTCTTCACTTACTTGTTACATACATCCCATCAAAGAAAGAAGCCAGGCAGACGAGAGAGTGCCAGGAAGAGGGAAGTCATAGTCGTTATACCTAATCCTGCAGGTGACATTCTGTCACTTTTACTGCATTCTGTTCTTAGGTCCAGTCCACACTCATGACAAGAGATGGAAAGCGTTAGGAGACATGTCAGAAGATGTCCGCCACGTGTGTAAATCAGATACAATTTTTTTATGTTTAAAGGTAACACGTGGCCAGTGAGATCTGTTTTTGTATGAAGATGAGCCCTCTCAACACTACACGACTTCGAGAAGCACTTTTGCTTTCTGGGAGCAAGGCACATCCTGACTTTGCTTATTCCAAGACATGGAATCAGCAACTCTCTAGGAACCCTTGTTCATTTTAAGGAAGAATAATATTAAGACTCTGTGTGTAGAAATGCATACTTTGTTTTGTGTTAGTACTGGTGTTAAATTAACCCACTCCAATGACAAGAGCCTGAAAATGCACATTTTTAAAAATATCATTAATTCAGTTTGATAGAGTACATTTCAGTATTACAATGTAACATATCTAGTTGATTTTTTAATCCCACACCTAAAAATAGAATCATAGCTACTATTTTAAAAATATATAAGTCAGCCCCGACCAGTGTCACTGTCCCACAAAGTGAAAGGTTGCCAGTTCAATTCCCAGTCAGGGCATATGCCTGGGTTGTGAGTTCAGTCCCCAATGGGGCAATCAGTGTTTTTCTCTCACATTGCTGTTTCTCTCCCTCTTTTTATAAAAATAAATAAAATTGTGTGTGTGTGTGTGCGCGCGCGTGCGTGCCATAACATTTTAAACTAAATTTCAGGTAACGATGCTATTACTGGTATCATCCCACTAATTATGTATAGTTAGGTTACAGTGTTACAGCTATTAGTTCTATTGTATACTTTTATCCAGTTAAAGTTTATTTTTAATCTAATGGGTTTATAGTTAATACTTGATAATTTCCTTTCTAATAAATCTAGCTTGAGTTTTAGCTAGAGTATTAGTGAGGCTTGAGAATGCAAAACTATGAACCTATGCACAGAAAAAATTGGGAGGAGATAATGAGTGGTTGTATATCTAACGGCAGAACCATGAGTGAGTGACTCTTTCTTTCTGCTTGTCTGTAGTTTGTCAAATTTTCTATAATGAACGTGTGTTGTTTTTATGATGGGAACATACTATGATTTAAAATGTTAATACCTAAGAAACTAAACACATGTAATAAAAGTGTATTATAGCATTTTATTAAGATTTGTTATGTAGCAACCTTGCCTAATACATAGAGTGGGACAAAAGTAGGTTTATCATTGTTTGCATTGAAAATAATACAATGATTAATAAATAATAATACAGGAATAAACTCGGTTTCCCATACTCACAACTGTAAAGCTTCTTTGCCTCACCCTATGTATGTAAAATAATACAATTGACATGATTTTCTAAAGAATTTGTCGATATATATTTGTATTAATAGCATTATTTAACCCATTGGGTAACTACTGTATATGTTTCATCATTTGTATTGTCATGTGCTGTTTTATAATCTAGATGAGAAATATTCGATTGTCTGACTTCACTGAATCCTTGAAAAAGATAAAACGCAGCGTGAGCCCTCAAACCTTAGAAGCGTATATACGTTGGAACAAGGACTTTGGAGATACCACTGTTTAAGCAAGTACCTTTGTAAGCCTGCATAACATTTTACTTACGAAGAGAAAAACACACCACCTTCAGTGAATAACTGTAAGCTACAGAAACTCAGCCTAAGTTTACAGGACTTTTCAGAGTCTTAAAATCATTTGTGCATCCAAAAAGATAAACCATAAAACAAATTTAAATAAAATATACAATGCAAATGGATTATTTTGTTTAAGGCCTTCTTGGCTTAATGGTCATGGTTATCCAAATGGGCAGTGTAAGTTAGAGCACAATAAAAACTGATTCTGGTCTTCTTTACCAGTATAGTCAGAATGTAAATAATGATTTGTATATTGTGTTGCAGATGAAAGTATTCCAGAGACAGGAAGTGGTAGAAGACACAAGAGCCATGGGTTGTCTTCTGATGTCTTTTTTTATAACAGTAAATTTCCCTGTTTTCCTGTCCTACTGTTGTCTTTACTATGGGTGATTGGAAGGCCAAAATTAAGTTTCTTTTTTTTTCCTTTTCTTTTTACAAATTGTGTGCCAAAAGAAACTTTTTTCTGGGTGACGGTTATAGGAAAAAGGATTTTGGAGGCTTTTTCTTTGTAAATTTACAGACATTAAACAATTGTTCTTTTCACTTTTTATTTTTCTAGTACCTTACTACCCAACAATTTAGAAAACGGTATGATAGCAACAAAACAAGTCTAGTAAAATAGAGGAGAAATTTGGAGGTTTTGAGTCACTCTGTCATACAACATGTAGATCAATCCTCATGTGATCGCAGTATGTTTTTCTAATATATTTGTCAGGAATCTCTTGTAGACTGTTAACTTATTCCTAATGGAATTTATTTTCTGCTAGAATTATTCTAATATTTAAGAAAGCCAATTTTGACAGCTGTAAAAGTGGTTCCTGTGCAAGAAAAGGAAGTGCTGGGAGCTAGGACATTTCTAATTTATTGCTTATTGCTTTCTTACTGTTTACAGGATAATGATAAGCCAGTGGATCCACCATCTTTTGCTCTTAATAATTATTAACCCCTTCAATGAAACTTTAAAAATTACTGAATTTTTATAAATTGCATACATTTTATAGGTTTCTTGTGCTCACTTTGTTAAAAGGTTGTAGTCTGTTAATCTGCCTTTTGTTTCCCCAAAATGTATGGTAATTCTGTTTCTTGTTTGTGTAAGTATGCCTGAATTTTTATTATGCAAATGTCATTGTAGCAAGTAGAGACTCATATCATTGCCTTTTAAATATTGTAATAAAGGCAAATGGATATTTGCCCTTAGTTTACTGGTTAAAAAAGTTTGTTTACAGAAATTTTCTTTGGTGCTTTTATGTAAAATGTCATGGGTGGAAAAAATAGTTTTATAATAGAAACAAAGATTTTTCATTTAGGAACTATCTTTGGATTTGAGAGAACACATTAAAATTAAAACCTTGCCCCTACTAGATGAGAATTTTATAATGAAGACATACCTTCTTAATTTTACTCTTGCTCTTCTTAAAGATTTATGTAAATACAGATGTATGGTTTCTTAACATCATATGGGTTTTATAGACATATTTTAAATTATGTCCCTTCTAATCATGACTTTTGAACTCCCTAGATAAGAAAAATTAGGGTTGAGATAAATGGAAAAACATTTTAAGCCCAAACTATGCATGCTTTAGATCTTGAGTAGTATTTCTTAAAGGTCTCAAAAATTAAAATGTCAATTATAAAATATTGATAATCAAGATGATAAAATATACATGGTGACAAGAATTGGAAACATCCCAAATTAAAACATTTTCAGTAAAGCTCAAATTTAATTTTAACTTACTTAGAAAAGAATTACTATTATTGATACTTGGATAACTCAGTCATATTAAAGGTTTATGTGCTTCAAGCTCAACTTTTAAAATATCTTTAAAATGATCATAATTCTATCTGGAATAAGTTAATGTAGCTCACTATTTTTATTGGGAAAGTTTTTAAGTAACAAAGATTTCAAAATATTAAAATAAGTAAAAGTCAAGTTAATATTGTCATAAACATTGAGTCAGATGTAGAAACATCCATCCATGCCTAGAAGTGATTTTACTTACCTGATTGGGTCTGAAGTTGAGCTTAGTGCTGGAGAACTATTTTCTATGACTTACTATGACCAAGTTTTATTTTCAGCTATGTGTCTTTCATAGAAGGGTTATGAAAATAGGATAATGATAATAGTAGGCGGTGTAAGGGTTTGGTTTGGTCTTTTTCACCATAGGAGTTGCTGAGGTTGTTCGAATTAATATTAGACTTAGATTGTAACCTTTTAGATTTTGCATTGAGCTATGTGTCATACAACTTCCTAAAAGTAACACTTAAACATTAAATTTTAGCATGCTCTTCATGTTAATATGGCAGAGTTTTGTAAACTGAATTAAAATTATTGATGTACTGGACTCTTAACCAATGGAAAGAATCAACACTATCTTTCAAGGTATTTAAAAGGTAAAAGTGTATTCTAAGACAATTTGCCCATTGAGGTTATTCCAATTTCTGACTTGAAAATATGCTTTGTTTTGGGGATGAATTGGAGGAAAAGCAGATGCTAGAATTCTAATTTAAGTAAATATATAGTAGTCTTTGTTTATAGTGTAAAATTCTTTATATTTTGTACAAAAACTAATTCTTTTGGTAGAATGAATCATTTAGTGTTTGGTTTTGGACTCTGAGTCAAAGATTTTTCCTTTAAATGCTTGTCTCAATTTTAATGTGGTCTTTTGTACTTCACAAGAAATGAATTAAAAGGTTCAGTTACATAAAGTGGGGTTTATCCTAGTGGACTGGAAATAAAGTATAAACTTTATTTTGCCTTTTTTTTATTTGAACCATTTTGAGATTTTAGAGGTTGCAGTCTGGTAATGAAGGAATAGCTTTATATTGGACTAATTCTTTCTCTCACCAACAACAATTATAAACTCTGAATAAAATATAAAAATGATTGGAAGACTCTAGAGGCAACAGCTGCACAAACTAATACACTAAAAGAGATTCACATTTACTAGCTTTTACCTGGAAGAAAATTTCTAGTTTGTGCTGTGTGCTTGGAAGTAGAATTCAAGCAGAGTATGACAGTCTTGCTCGGCTGAGGAGTCATTAGGGGCTTCTAGAACCGCTGGAAATTAGGAAGGAAGTCTTGAAAAGTAGAGTGCTTCACATAGATAAGCCCCCCAATCTGCCTACAAATTCCTTTCAAATTGAACCTGTGCAGTGTGACATTCAGAGGAACCCAACAGAAAGCAGCAGTTGAAGTCTAAGGAACTGAACAGAGGTGGCAACGGCTAGGGTCATACAGAGTTTGAAACTCAGATTACAAAGCTTAAAACCAAGCTTTTGGGTCGGCTGTGATTGGGTGTAAAAGGTAGAAAACTGTACTTGAACAATGATTAAAATAAAATAAAAAAATACTTATAACAAAAAAACCCCAAAAAACAAAAAACCAAGCCTTCACAGCTTCCAGGTTATCCATCAGAAATTTAAAATAGAGAGCCAGAACAAAACAACATTCTTTAGAAGAAAACAGTAATCAGTCTTTGCAATATATCAGGCATAAAGTCACACTAAACAATTACTAGGAACACAAAGAAAAATTACATGAGCCATAATCAAAAGAAAATATAGAAGCAGATCATATATGGGAATTAACAGAAAATTATTTCAAAACATTTAAAATATGTTAAAGAATTTATAGGAAAAGATGCGAATTGAACTGATTTGGAGTCTCAGCAAAGAAACAAACTAAAAACAAAGTCTGGCAATGAAAAAAATTTGAAATGAAAAAATAGTTACAAATTTAAATTACAAATAGTTGCAAATCTGAAGTTACAAATTTCACTGGATGGGCTTAACAATAAACTGGACACAGCAATCTGTATTGTATTGGAGGCATACAATTATCAAACTGAAGCATAGAAAGAAAAGAAAGCGCAGGTCTGAGACCTGTGGAACAGTATCAGTTTAATGTATCTGTAATTTAGCTGCAGAAGAGGAAAGGAAGAGAATGGGACAAAAATATTTTAAACAGTAAAGCCTGATAATTTCCTATTAATGTGGAAAGATACCAACTTAAAAATTTAAGAAGTTCAGTGATCCCAAGCAGAATAAATACAACGAAGATCACATGTGGTTGCATCATATTGCAAACAAAATTAAAAATTAAAAGCAGCTAGGGAAGGGACATGACATTACATTCAAATAAATAGTAAGAGTGATGGCTAACTTCATCAGAAATAATAAAATACAGGAAATGATGGAATGACATCTTTAAAGCATGAACATTAACCTAAAATTTCAGACTTAAAATATGAAGGCAAATGAAAGCTGTTGCTGATAAATGAAAACTAAGAATATGTTGCCAGCAATCTGACATAAATGCCTTAAGAAATTTGTCAGCTGATGGAAAATGATCCTCAGGGAACTTGCATCTTTAGGAAGGAATCAGAACTTTGAAGTGATCTGTGTCAGTAAATACAAAAGATATTTTTTCTTAATTTCTCTAAATATCTACGGGCTTTTTAAAAAACAAAATATGGGGGAGGGCAGTATAAGGGGACTAAATGGTAATGGAAAAATATATAATAAAGGTTAAATTAAAAAAATAAAACTTCAGTGCCATGTGTGGTATTTATATGTAGATGTAAAAGAATACAAAGTAGCAGAAAGAACATGGACAGTAAACGGAATTATAATGAAATACTATTATACACAAAGTGATATGCTATTAAGGTAAGATAGACTGATTAAGGATGCATATTATAATCTCAAAGTCCAGAAGAAACCCAGCACCTGCCTCTTAGAGTCCTCCCAGTGGAATTAGAGTGCGTGCACTTAATTCCTCCAGCGTCATTTTATGACAACGTGTGAAAGGGTTAGGCCTGTGTTAGGCAACAGAAAATAGCTCTATCAGGGAATGATGGGAAACTTCTCCGAAGTGCAAGTAACCAGATGCCAGCCAAGGGCCAACCTTACAAGCAGGACTTTCAAAAGAATAGCAGTCTTGGGCCTACTATTGTAACTTTTTCTTCACAGTGGTTCAAAATGGTCCGCAGCTAGTGTGATTTAGTGGATTGAGCATGGGTCTGTGAACCAATGGGTCGCTGGTTCAATCCCCAGTGAGGGTACATGCTTGGGTTGCAGGCCAGGACCCCAGTTGGGGGTGCATGAAAGGCAACCACACATTGATGTTTTGTCCTTCAGTTTCTCCCTTACCCTCTCTCTAAAAGATAGATAGATAGATAGATAGATAGATAGATAGATAGATAGATAGATAGATAAAATCTTTAAAAAATGGTCACAGAGGAAAGAGGACCTTATTCACTAGGTGAGCAGAAATGACCTGGCTGAAGAATAAGCACACAAGCATAGAAAGACCAGTGTCTGCGTGGGGGAAAGTGTCAGCAGAGAGGGCAGATGGGTTACATGCAGGATACCTCACCAGATAAGTCCAAGTACTTACCAGTGGAGCCCCCTTTCTCACTGTCAGAGAAAGTAAGTAATTATGAATCTGTGAGGTGGGGTTGGAGTTGAATTTAAGAGTAGAAATTCACAATTTAAGATATGTAAAAATAGGGGAAATGTATGTGAATGTGCATGTGTGTGCGTGTGTGTCCACATGCATATATTCCCTAGTTCTCTCCATTGAGAGGCCTGGGAGCAGTTACACCCCCCAAAACAATGTGCACATATAGCACCTCTTTTTTTTAAATTTGCTTTTTATAACACCTATTATTTGCCTTCCAAATTCTTCATTGTCTTGGTCTGCTAAAGCTGCCATGTTTTTAGGTGGTTTTGTAAAGTAGCACCTCACATCTTGGTATCAAAACCTTAGTATACCCGAACAAAAGCACCATAGACTGGGTAACTTCAACAAGAGAAATTTATTTTCACAGTTCAGAAGTGTGGCCAAATTCAGGAAACAAGTGCTGGCCTATTTGGTTTCCGGTGAGAGCTCCACTAACTGGCAAACAGCCACCTTCTCACGTGGTGGTAAGACAGAAAGTACCCTGGTGTCTCATGATGATGGCACTAATCCCATCATCATGAGGGTCTTGTCTTAACCCTAATTATCTCCCAAAGATCCCATGTCTAAATACAATCACATTAGAATGTAGGGCATCAGCATAAGAACTTTAGAAGGATGCAAAAGTTGATAACATCCACTAAAGGAACCAGGGCTCCTTGGTGAAATGGCCAATTTCAGGGTTGGGGCAGAGAACATACAGTGGTGGGCAAAAGTAGATTTACAGTTGTGAGTATGCAAAACAAGAGTCTTTTAAAAAGTAATTTTAGAGAAGGGGGAAAAAATCATGAACCCTCTCTTTCACTGGTTGACTCTTGCATGTGTCCTGATAGGGACTGAACCTGCAACCTTAGCGTGTGGCGACCATGCTCCAACCAACTAAGCTACACAGCCAGGTAGTTGATTCTCTTATTTTTATTTATTGTTGTATTATTTTCCATACAAAGAACAGTGAACCTACTTTTGGCTACTCCTGTACAAAATGAACCCAGAATATCTTATGCCAGAAAACAAGAAAGTGCTCCACGATTGGTGAGGACGAGTCCTTGATTGGAATGGCTCCCACTGGACAAATTTGAACATTAAAATAAGTAATTATAGTAATGGGTTATAACCCATCCCATGAAATAACTCATGAGCCAATGTGGCTATATAAATACAATGTATATAGATAAATACAAGAACAAATTGAAGTGTGATGTAGATTGAAGTATTTACATGGTTTCAAACTACATCCCCACAAAATATTAGAAAGGGGGGGTTTTTATAGTGAAAAAATCTGGAAGATGCCACCTTAATCTAATGAAGGTTATTAATGGGACAAATTTCACATAATAGGGTCAATGAGAAAAATGCAATATCACCTCTAATATTCCTTGCCACCTCAAAGTGGCAAGGAATCAAATAAAAAAAATGTTCCATACCGGAAGGATTAAACAGAATGACAACTAAAAGCAACCTGTGATTGACAACTGATTACTTCCGACCTTAACCCTCGCATTCCTAGAAAACCTCGGAGTCACTCTAGCTGGCTCCATCGCCAGTAAGGAACGCAAGGACTGCCGGGAAAGGGGGCGAGATCCGGAGGCCGTGGTACGCGCTTCCGTTCCCGCGTCGCTTGCAGCCAATCAGCCTCTGTTGCTCCACCCCTTCCGCTCTAGGGAAAAGCCAGCTGCCCAAGCGTTTTCCAGCGGGAGCTGTGCGGCTCCTTACCATGGTGAGTTGGACGGGGCTTCAGGGTTTCTGTCGTAGGTGATGTCTCTTACCTCTTTTACCCTGAAGCAGCCTTGAAATGCCTTAACTGTCCAGAGGAGGGGTCATCGGAGGTGTGCTTGGGTCCCCGAGGGAGAAGCAGCTGGAGCCCGAAAGTTTTCCCCCAGAGCTCTGATTTCCCCCACTCCCTCACTTTATTCCTTTACCGCTAGTGATCCCGGGCCCGTTCCAGGCCGAGCTTTTAGCTCAGGCGAGTTCATCGCTTCCCCATGCCGAGATTTCTTCCTATAGACAGGCTTTGCCGGCATCAGTGGCTACAACACCAACAAAAGATGTGAAAACAAGTGCACAGCAGCAACGACCGTAATAGTGATGTTTACAACAGCGACGCTAACGCTAGCGTAAATAAAGAGGGTTATGAGTAGGATATTGAGGCAGACGCTCTGCAACCTGGCTTTTTTATTAAGTGCCAGTTAGCCTAATTAGCCAGCAACTTTCAGAAAGCCAGGGACTGGAGAAGGTCAAGGTGTTGGTACAGCATCTTACGGCAGATTGATTCTGGGGATGTGATTGTGGATCCCCAATATAACTTAAGACTTGGGGATGTGGAATGAAATCTAAATTTTGTCGGAGGAATTCGTCATTTTATGCTTGTAGAAACCCAGGATATAGTTCTCTGAATTTTATCTTAGAAAAAGCAGTTGATTGTAATTTCAGGATCAAACGAGGTACAGATCATTTTATTTATGAAAGCGTAATGGTTATGGGTAACCTGCATGTGAGAAAAGGACCACATTTCTGTGCCTAAGTCGTTGGCACTCTTAATTTTTTTCCTTGAGTGGATATGGTTGAAAAAATGTTATTCACATTCCCCTTTGTATGTTTTCTGTAATCCCTCCTTACACACAGAAGTGAGTACAGGTTACTTTTTCTGGCTGACAAAATAGCCTCCAGTTACACCCTTCCTCAAAACGAAGACCACTGTGCAGCCAGAGTTAAATTTATAAAACTTGACTATGCCACTCCCTTGCTTAAAGTTCAGTTTTTTTACTGTAGCCCTCAAGATAAAGTCCTGTTTAGCATGGTCTACAAAGCCGTCTGTAGTAAAACTTATCTTTACAGCCTCTCTCTACACATGCATCCATCTGTATTCCAGGCACAGTGAGCAGCTAGCAGATCTGCTCCAACAATTAGGCCTTTGCACGTAATTTGTACATGCTATTCTATCTGCCAGAGTCATTCTCCATGTCCTACTCCCCATCCTTATTGGTATAACCCTTCCATGTTCTTTAGTCTCTTTCGTGAGCCTTTCTGCCATTGTCAAGATCCTGTTGGGTGCTTCTGTATGCTTCCAGGATAACCTGGGGCTTTATACCTATAACGGCTATCACCCTTACCAGACTGTACTAATATTGAGTATTTATTGTACTTGTCTTTCTCACTTCCTAGACTGTAAGCTCTTTGAGAGCAGGACCCATGTTTTCACTGTTATTCCCAGAGCCTTGTACAGTGCCTAGTCCAGAGGAAGTTTTCAATAAATATTTGTTTTATAAAACACTGAATAAATGACTATGGCACTAAATTTTTATGTTTGATACAGTAATATAGGGGAATGGGTGCATTTCAGGTTTATTTTTAACATTTTGGGAAGAAGGATTTTATGAGTTCCCCATTATGTATTATTTAAGAATATGCAATGTATATGCAAAGCACAGTACTGTCTAAGAAAATGTAAAGGAACTATAACTCTTGTCATTAATGAAGTTCCTAAAAAATTAACTTACAGTGCAAGATGATGAGATGAAGGGTATCCCATGGTTGGGTTACAAAGTAAGCATTAAAAAAAGACTAGTTTGAAATAACCTAGGAATGCCTCAGGTAGGAAGTGAAACATGCCAGTGAATACTTCTTGCCTTATTCCGATACTCTTAATCTACTATTCATTACTCAAGTAGCTTGCTAAGCATTACAGGGCTATTAGAGCTTGGATTAGAAAGTCTGGCCTTTGCACTCTAGAGCCGTGTAATCATCAGACACAGGTGCACCAGTCTAGTTGGAGCTGATTCCTATCCTGGAGGAAGAGGTAAAATCAAAAAAGAAACAGGCTAAATCATTGAGAGTTTTGATTTCCAGATTATAAGTTTGGAGTTCATCCTAATAGCCATAAAGAGCCAATATAATTTTGGAAAGAGTGGCATGAATGTTAAGGTTTTTGTTTTGTTTTCAGTATCAGATTGGCGTTAGAATGGCCCTCTGCCTTTTAGAAACCCCTTATTGTTGGTCTTAACTTGAAGCTTAACAAACAATTGAAGGCGGGCTGAAGTTACAAGATACCCAGTGATAACAGTAGGAAGTACAATTATCTTTGGGACCAAAATATCTCACATGTAGTTCTTTCAGAACAGAGTACACTAATTAACATTAGCATTTATTACCTCACAAAGGAAAATAGTATATTGTTTCTTTTCAACTGAATTGGCTTATAGAGCCTTAGGGTTTCACGACATGCCCTGCTCCTAATTTGGATGCTAAAAATGTAACACTTGCTGGTGCTTAATGTTTATATTTTGAAGTATTTTTTTACTTCATTACATTTTTTTTAAAGATTTTATTTATTTATTTTTAGAGAGGGAAGGGAGGGGGGGAGAAAGAGAGAGAAACATCAAGGTGCGGTTGCTGGGGGCCATGGCCTGCAACCCAGGCATGTGCCCTGACTGGGAATCGAACCTGCGATGCTTTGGTTTGCAGCCTGAGCTCAATCCACTGAGCTATGCCAGCCAAGGCATACTTCATTAATTTTTATTGTGGAAAATTTCAAACATACAAGTAGAGAGAACATAGTATAATGTGTCCCTAGGTAGCCATTACTTGGCCTCAACAATGATCAACATTCTGCTATTTCCCTTATGCCAGATTTCTAGTACTCAGCCTTATTTCCTGCCTCTCTGAGTCTTGGCACTTCAACCAGTGACATGTCTAAGCTTTGAAGAAATAAGCTATGCGTTTTGGTAACTACTGAGATGTTCCTAGGTGCTAACTGTAGGAAAATTATGCCTCTACTTGAATTGGATCTGAAAATTGTCCACATTGCCCATCTAATACCCAGTTTCCTGCTTTCTGAGGAGCTTCAGTGTGTGAGTCAAAGTGGACAATTACAGTGAGGTGGAAATGTGGTGTGATTGTAACAGTGATTGTGACCTTTACTGTCTAGGAGTGTTTTGTCGAACCTAAAACCCATATATGGCACTCAGCAATAAAGTTAGGTGTGACTGTTAAAAATTATGAAGGATTTTTTTTCCTCTAGAAAGGGTTTTTTGCTTTGCTTTTGCTTTTTTCACAGCTTACCTTTCCAGGGTTTTTTCTTTGTTTGTTTTTAGGGTATTGTCTTCCCAATGGAAAAGTATATAGTAAAATTGATCAATTTTTTTCCTTAGCTTCTTGGTTTTATGTCCTATTAAGAAAAGTCCTCTCCAACTCCAGGATTATAAAAATGATACATTCTTAGTTTCTTCAAGTACTCTATAGTGTGTTTTAATTTTACAATAATAAAAAATTAGAATAAGCAGTATAGTAAGGATCCAGTTTTCCCTTTTTCCAAACATCACTTACTGCATCACTCATGCTTTCTCCCACTGATGTTGGACACTGCCATGATTATAAGCTAACTTCCCATCTGTGCTTGAACTTTTCCTTATGCTCAGGCTGTCCCACGTGGTTTCCTGACCTTGAGCAGTAAATCTCAGTCTAGGCACCACTCGGTCACTTCTCTTGCTGGTAACCCTGCTGCCAGCCCCTTCCTCTGCTAGCCCCATACCACGCTCTAGCAGGAGCCACAGGTGTCAGGTACTTTTGAGTGCCCAAGGGAGAACCTCAGAAGCTTTATAATAGTAACAGTTATCAAGCCTTTCATACATAGAGCTTTAATCAGGTGAATTGTAATGTTTTCTTTCCTGTAGAGCTAACAAACTTTTTGCCTTTCTGGTTCAAAATTTGCCTTCCCATTTAAAAACAAAGTGTGGTTTGGAGCCGAAATGGCTGGGTTTTCTCTTTTCAGCCATTTACTGACATTGGGCCCTTGGAAAACTTACGTAAAGTTATTTCTACCTTATAGGATTATTATGAGAATTAAATAGATAAATATATGTACAGTGTCTAGGATGAATGTTTGTCATGTATTAAGCATTCAGTAAATGTTCATTACTACTATGTATTACATCACAGGAACTATAAAGAATAGACACTGATTTGTATATTTTTGTTTGTTTTAAAGGGGACAATTCATCTCTTTCGAAAATCACAAAGATCTTTTGTTGGCAAGTTATTACAGGAATTCAGACTTGTTGCAGCTGACCGAAGGGTGAGTTGTTTTTATTCCTTAATTTCAATTATTGCACAAGCATAATGTTGAAAAAAAGGTAATTTTTAAGGCAAATAGAAATCACTCGATCTCACCACACTGTTTTCATTTTTTTATGTTGGATAATTTTTTAAGTATATTTTATTGATTATACTGTTAATGTTGTCCCAGTGTTTTTCCCTTTGTCTCCCTCCACCTGTTACCACCTTTCCCTCCAGTAATCCCCCCCCCGCCCTCCACTTAGTTCATGTCCATGGGTTGTGCATGTAAGTTTGTTGGTTTCTCGCTTTCCTATACGATTCTTAACCTCTCCCTGTCTGTTTTGTTCCTACCAATTATGCTTCTTAATCCCCGCACATGTTTCCCTTTCTCCCCCTTCCCCTCCCAGCTGAAAACCCTATGAATGATCTCCATATCTATGATTCTGTTCCTGTTCTGGTTGTTTGCTTTGTTTTTGTTTTTGTTTTTTAGATTCAGTTGTTGATAGTTGTGAGTTTGTTGTCATTTTAATGTTCATAGTGTTGATCTTTTTCTTAAATAAGTCCCTTTAACATTTCATGTAATAATGGTTTAGTGATGATAAATTCCTGTAGCTTTACCTTATCTGGGAAGCAGTTTTTCTGCCTTTCCATTCTAAATGATAGCTTTGCTGTATAGAGTAATCTTGGTTGTAGGTCTTTGCTTTTCGTCACTTGGAATACTTCTTGCCAGTTCCTTCTAACCTGCAGAGTTTCTTTAGTGAAATCAGCTGACAGTCTTATGGGACCTCCTTTGTAGGTAACCCTCTGCTTTTTTCTTACTGCTTTTAAGATTCTCTCTTTATCTTAAACCTTTGGCATTTCAATTATGGCATGTCTTGGTGTGGTCCTCTTTGGGTATGTTGGATAATTTTTTAATGTACAATTTTAGTACTTGGGCAGTCATTTTGCTTGGGAGGAAGGTAGGCTTTGGTTAGTTTTTATTTTAACTTTAAAGAGTCTTAAATAAGAATTATTTTGTGGTTGCCTTGTGTTAGTAATTTTTTAAAAATGGGTGTAGTCTAAAGTCATGTTTTCTCATTTTTTAAAAAATTTGTTTATTTTTAGCAAGAGGGGAAGGGAAGGAGAAAGAGGGAGAGAAGCATCAATGTGTGGTGGCCTCTTGTGTGCCCCCCACTAGGGAGACCTGGCCCACAACCCACGCATGTCCCTGACTGGGAATTGAACTGGCAGCCCTTTTTTTCACAGGCTGTCACTCAGTCCACTGAGCCACACAAGACCTGGCTGCTTTCTCGTTTTTAATGTAGGCAGGAAAAAAATGCTTTAAGGTCATAAATAAAAAGATGTAATTAGTGCCCTTTTTGGTTACCATGTAGACCTTTTAGTTACTGTTCTGTATTCATTGTTCTCATTCTTGTCTTAATTATACTATAAGCTCCCTAAGGGCAATGACTGTGTCTTTTTTGCTCACTTTTTAATAAGAGTACAAAGTAAACACCCAATATATATTTGATGACTTTTAAATAAACCCAGCTTCAACAGAATGTAATAAACAGTAGTAATGATGTTGGCCTTGTATTGTGATACTGTATTAGAGACTTCGTCTCTTTTTGCTTTACCACTATATCTCCTGCTTCTAAAACCTTGGAATATAGTTAGAACTCAGTAATTTTAGTATTTGGAAATATTACCATACCCTGAATGTTACATTTCAAGGGCCAAGGATAGGGAATTCATCTGCTTCTTGTGTAGCTAGTCCATTTAGGATGATCTCTTGAGAACAGATAGATAGCTCTATGATGTTGATGGGAAGGAACTGTATTGCAGAAGCAGATTCTTTAACAGTGTACTTTATTGAAGCCCAGTATATTACAGAATAGGTAGCAGGAACAAAACTGATACAGGAATCCTGAGTTGCATAGATAATCTCTATCATAATTTACGTTTTAAGAGATATAGCTATTTTATCTCTCTTCACTGCTACTTCTGTTTTAGTTCTCCATGATTTCGTATTTCCTGTGGAAGATTCTCACAACTCTCAGTTCCTTACTTCATCACCAAAAATAATCTTGTCCTTCTTCCTTTCCAGCCACTCACTTCTATGGTCAGACCATAGACCTTATCATTTATAATAACTACAGTATATCGTCCCATTATCATATCATTTGAAAGCATTTTACTCATTAGTCGTCATCTCTTGACTTTCCAGGTAACTCCATTATCCCAACTCCAGTAATTCTTCAGTCTAACTAGAACCTCCAATACCTTGACTCTACCATATGTTTACTGTTTTCACCTCCCTTGTCATCATGTGCTTGCTTACACAATTTAGATTCCATGGTCCATCATTATCATTTTCTTACATCTGCCTTCAACTCCTTCCTTCTTTCCTTCTGTCTGTCATACTGCCTGTCACACATCCCTGGAAAATCCCTAAGTTCACTTTCTTTTCACTCTCTGCAACTGAAATTCACCCAAGCAACTGAATGTAGCCTGAGAGAAACACAAAAACCATGCTGACTGGTCTTACTTTAAAGTCATGATGAAGTCCTAGCTGGTGTGGCTCAGTTGGCTGGGCATCATCCTGCAAAGCAAAAGGTTGCCTGTTCGATTCCTGGTCAGGACACATGCCTGGGTAATGAGTGTGATCTCAGTCGTATGAGAGGGAGAGATGTTTCTCTTCCTCTTTCTCCCTTCTTTTCCCTCACTCTAGAAATAAATAAATATATTCTTTTTAAAAATAAATTTATGATCAAGTATGCCATTTGTGCTGCCCATATTATATTTTTTTACTTCATTCAGTTTCCCACTTTCCTAAATGACTATTTCATACCATTTTCTTGCACTTCTGTCCTCAAAACTTCCAAAAATGTGTTCATCCTCACCCTGACCTGTTCATTTAGCTTTGTGTTTCAGTACAGGAAAAGAAGTAACAGAATAAAACTTCCACATCCTATCCTTAGCATGCCTACCAACTCTGCTTTCCTTCCTATTTCTAGGAATGAACTATCTGGTCTCCTACATACAACCATTCCCTCTACTTGTTGCCTAGCCAAGGACAGTGTTCAGTATTTGTTCCTTCTGTCTCTTGCCTCATTGGTCCTTTTTTGCACCGTTCTTCTCTTTCTTGCATAATTACTTGCTGTATATTCTACTTGCAGCTACTGATTCATTTCTTTGCTTCCTTTTGTACCAAAAGTACTTAAAAGACTTGTCTTTACTCTCTGTTCACTTTCGCTTCTCTCTTTTTCAAACATATACCAGCCCAAGTCTCTTCCCCATTCATCCACAGAGACTGCTTTTACAAAGCACTTTCTACAATCAATATCGGTAGTCATTCCCATTTCCTATCTTAGTGGACCTTCAACAGCATTTGACAAAATTTGGTCACTTCCTCCTTAAAGGGCTTCGTTCATTTGGACTCTGAAATGCCTCTCTTGGTTTTCTTCCTACTTACTTTTAGTTTCCTTTGTCACTTTCATCTTTCTGATCCCTCAAGTTTTGAACTTCTCAGGGCTTAGAGCTCCCTCCAGCCTCTGTTGTTCATGTTCATGCATCTAGGTGACACTATCACTGCTGCACGCTGACAGCCCTACTTTATATCAAACCCTGACTTCTCCACTACCTCTAGATTGCTATATATAAAATGACCCTCTCAACATTTCCACTTGGATGTATAATAGGTATCTCAACTTCAATATGGTCACATTTGAATTTCGATTTTCTGTCGTTCCTTACTAAATGGCCATTCTGTTCTTCCAAATGCTCAGGCCAGAAACCTTGGAGTCATCCTTATCCCTCTCTTTTCCTCACAGCTCACATCCATTTTTAAACTGAATCTTGCTAGCTCTGTCTTCAGTATAATACCCAGAATCTGCCTCCTCTACTACCTCCTTACCACCTACAAAGGCACCATCGCTTCTCCCATGCTTTACTGTAATCACATCCAGATGGTCTTTCTATTTCCATCCTTGCCCCATGCAGTATATTATACATAGGGAAGTCAAAGTGGTCTTTCAAAAATTGAAAGCTAATTCACTTTCCATTTCTTCTGGAATAAATTTCTATTCTTTTCCTGTTCTACAAGACACTGCTTGACATAGCGTCAGATTCGCTCTCACCTGTCTCGACTAGCTGGCCTCAGCCAGGCACTACTCTATTTCCAGGAGTTTGCACTGTCGTTTCCACTTTCTCTCCCACATGTCTGCAAGCTCACCGCCGTTGCCTCTTTAAGATTTCTGGTCACGGTCACCAAAGAGGTGTGTCCTGATCATCCTATCTAGAATAGCAACTCTCTCTCTTTTTTTAAGATTTTATTTATTTATTTTTAGAGAGAGGGGAAGGGAAGGAGAAAGAGGGAGAGAATCATCAATGCGTGGTTGCCTCTCGTGCACTCCCTACCATATCAGCTCTTGGGTGTCTAATATCTGTCCTTACCTCAGCTGCTTCACTGGTTTTTTCCTGGGTATAGAGAAAGTTCCAGAATGGTGTCTACCATAAATTCTTGCTGCTAATTCTTGTACTCCTCTTTGATGATTCAGTAGTATACTCACTATAACAGCTTCTGCAGATTTTCTCTGGATTTAAGCTTCCAGTCCTGCTTCACCATATCCCTTAATTTTAGAAAATGGCCTCGGTTCTTCTTTTCTGGAGATTGATAGGCTGTTAGCTCTGTGCCATTTCACTGTCACTTTGTTCTGTCTTACAGTTTCTCTGTGCCTCCAGTCACTTTCTTGTCCTTTTCACCTTTCTCAAAGGCCTTGTTGTTCCTTTCTAAACCTATACCTTCCAACTGTATTCTAAAACCCATGTTATCCTATACCACATTTGATCTTTGCAACGGTATCTGTTTAATTTTAACAGCTTCAAATAACTGCCTTTTCACTAATTTCTTTCACCTCTACTTTCAATCATAGGTCTCCCTTGTAGGGAGTGGAGTGGAATAAAAATAAACACTTCACTTGATCGCTTCTTCCTTTATTTTTAGAATGCCCTTCCTCCTTCTTCTAATTCCTAGCTATTTCCAAGGTGCATCTCAGGTCCCCTCTCTTCTATGAACTTCTAAACCATGATCATCTTTCCCTCTTATGTGGTCCTATTGCATATGGTTATTTGGTGGATAACCAAGTTCTGCCCTTGGGGGAGGGGACAGGTAACTTAAGACTCATCAGTTGCTCAAATTTTTGCCCCATTTGCTTTATCTTTGTCCCTATGTACATTTTTTTTTTATGGAGACAAAGAGTGTTTGAGTTTATTTTCTCTTAAGTAATACCCTTTCTAGAACTATTATTTTAATTTGTATATTATAACAACTTGTTTGATAATAATTTTGGTAAACTTAGGAAATGTGATACTTTGAAGAAAGTTGTGCTTATTCCTTTGAATATCAAAAGTATGAATTATAGCAGCTTGAACAGATTTGGTGAAGTTTATCAGCACTATGCAGATAATAGTGGTTTTCTTTTTTCACAGTCCTGGAAGATACTGCTCTTTGGTGCAATAAACTTAACATGCACTGGCTTCCTGCTTATGTGGTGCAGTTCCACTAACAGTATAGGTATGTCACCATTCTTATTTTTATTGTATTCATTATTAGTTCCACTTTGGTTATTCTGATTTTTAATAAAGGTACAGCTTCCTTTACCTAGAATATATTATTCTGAAATATAACTCAAAAGATTTAAATGAGAAAATATATTTGAAAATTGCCTTGAAACTATAAAGTTTGGCTCAATTATTAGGCTTTTTTTTTGAATGAGCTATTTTTTTTTTTCAGATTTTATTTATTTATTTTTAGAGAGAGGAGAAGGGTGAGAGAAAGAGAGGGAGAGAAACATCAATGTGTGAGAGATACAACGATTGGTTGCCTATTGTACACCACTAACGGGTGTCCTACTTGGCAACCCAGGCACGTGCCCTGATTGGGAATCGAACCAGCTACCTTTCGGTTTGCAGGCAGGCACTGAATCCACTGAGCTACAACAGCCCAGGCTATAATTAAAAAAAAACAAAAAAAAAACAAAAAAACTTTAAACCTGTATGAAAAACTGAGATTCCTTTTTAATGTGATGTATTAGAAATTCTGTTTATGTAGTTTATAAATAGAATTTTGAGATTTATTGGATTTTTTTGAAAGGGAAAGCTAATATTTTTATTGTGGCTTGACCTCATGTATTTTTATTTATCATTATTTTTTTAAAGATTTTTATTTACTTATTTGTTCATTCATTTTAGAGAGGGGGGAAGGGAAGGAGAGAGAGAGAGGGAAACATTGATGTGTGAGAGAAACATTGACTGGTTGTCCATTGTATGACCTGGCCCACAACCCAGGCTCGTGCCCTGACTGGAAATCGAACCGACAATCTTTTGGTTTATGGGAGACACCCAACCCACTATGCCACACCAGTCAGAGCTATACCATTATTTTCATTCTGCTATTCAAAGAATCCGTTTAAAATAGTTTTCAGAAGGCAGAAAATATTGTCACAGGTCTTTTAAACACACACTGAGTTATTTTTTCCAACAAATCAGGTTCTAAAGGAAGCTTTTGTACTAACCAACTTTGACTACATATATTAATCAGATTTACTGGATAATTGCCAACATACAAGGTTAATCAGTGATTTTTTTTCTTTTTTCTTTCCTGTTTATTTTGGTAATGGACACCCCTGTTGTGAACAATTTTGGTGATTTGCTGTATTTCCTAATAATGGATTCAGTAACATTTTAATTGATCTGTTTTGCAGCTTTAACTGCCTATACTTACCTGACCATTTTTGATCTATTTAGGTAAGTTTTTAAAAATCTCCTAATATTTTGAAGCTAATAAAAATTTGTTGCACTGAAGTTATAAAGCTTTCTTTGCTGAAAGTAATCTGTGAAATAAGTAAAATAAACCAGTATAGGACACATATATATAAACAGTAAATTAACATATGTACTGGAAAAAAAATATTTGGTTTACATAGCAACAGAAAAGATAATATCCAGGTGTTAGGTCAAATGCTTCAAGTGCCTGCCTGTGGGTGAGTCAGCCACGGCAAGGGAGCAGGGTCATGTAAGAACACACCAGTTTTGAGCCCTGGCTGTTCAGCTCAGTCAGTTAGAGCATTGTCCCAATATGCCAAGGTTGTGAGTTTGATCCTCAGTCAGGCCACATACAAGAATCAACCAATGACCCTGGGTGGGTGGCTCAGTTGGTTGGAATGTTGTCCTGTATACTAAAAGGTTACGGGTTTGATTCCCAGTTGCGACGCATATGAGAGGCAATTGTAAAAAACACAACTTTTGGTAAAAAAAGAATCAACCAATAAATGCATAAATAACTAGAACAATAAATCAATGTTTCTCTCTCACCTCTCCTCTTTTTAAAATAAATAATTTTTTAAAAATTAAAATAAAAAAAGAATGTACCAGTTCCCTCTGTAACTGATGGGGAAACAAATGAGGGACATTAGTAGCTGAGAAGTGAGTAATTGTGAGCTAGGGAGACAACCTGGTGCCTCCTTGCTTCCTGGGGTTTTTCACACTTCCGTATAAATGTTGCAAAATACCTTGATATCTTCAAGATCCATGCCGTATGAATATGTCATGAGGATGTCTTGATATTAATCACATAACTAAATTACTTGGTTGGTCTAAAACCATGTGAATTGAATTATCCAAATTTCACATGTAGTTAGTTGTTTAGAGTAAATTTCCACTATTACTTAGAAAATGAACATCATTTTATCCCATCCAGAATGTTGTCAGGGTGTATTAATATCTAGCTTAACTTTTATCAAAGATCAAATAAAGCTTATGAAAGTTAAAATTTATTGTATATGCCTAGAATGAAATACATTACATTATTATTCTTGTGTCATTTTTTGCATGCTCAGTTATGGAAACTAGTTAGGGTGGACCACTTACTGAGCAGAGAAAGTGTGGATTTAGGTTCTGTTTAGCCGACTTGATGATATATCACAATGCTTTTCAGTTTCTCCATATGTTAAAACTGCCATGTGTTAGGATGCTCGTTGTGAATAAATTATAAATTATTACATAAGTTATTGTTCATTTATTCTGAGTAAATACCGATAACTTTCAGCATCTTAGGAATTCTAAAAACTTAATTTCTTCCTTTGTGTTCTCTTCTAGCTGTAGATCTAATGCTAAATTTATTTTTCTTTTTACGTAGTTTAATGACGTGTTTAATAAGTTACTGGGTAATGATGAGGAAACCTAGCCCTGTCTATTCATTTGGGTAAGTTCAAATTATGTTTTGCTAACTTATTACTATTAAAATAATAATTAGGCAATACAGAGCTGGCTAGAGTAGTTCTAGAAAACAAATGTTGCCTGCTTAGTGGAATAATCAAATAGCAAAAGTAGGTAGAAAAGGATCTTCCAAGCAGATTTAGATAAGAAACACAAATATTTAAGTTTATCATGTTAAAATAAAATACTCACATTATGTTATTTTCTATTTTATAAAACAAATATTAACATAACATTTCAAATTAAGTTGTTTTGTATTTGGGAAGTCTTTCATTTTACTTATAGAAAATAGAATTTTCATCTAAGTGTATTTTTTAGATGCTAAATTGATATATTTTAACGTAAATGCAGTGGTAGAGATGGATTTTTACTTTAAGACTTGGATTTTTTATAGCAGTGGACTAACAAAGAATATAAGATTTCTGTTTCTGTAGTTTTAGAAAATACTGAGAGTTGGAAGATAGTCTTTTGTATTGGAGGTTTTTAAAGATACATGTTAGAAAAATGTGAGTTCATTTCAACTTCAAGGAAACAACTTGAAGAATTGTGCATTGGTAAAGAAACTCCTGAACCACCTCGGCTGGTGTAGCTCAGTGGATTGGGGGCTGGTCTGGGAACTGAAAGGTCGCGGGTTCAATTCCCAGTCAGGGCACATGCCTGGGTTGCAGGCCACGTCCCCAGTCAGGGGTGTGCGAGAAGCAACTGATCCATGTATCTCTTACATATTGATGTTTCTCTCCCTTTTTCTCCCTCCCTTTCCTTCTCTCTAAAAATGAATAAATGAAATCTTAAATTAAAAAAAAAAGAAGAAGAAGAAACTTCTGGACCAAACTTACCCTTCTTCACCATACCATTCATTGGGATTATGTTTACTTGGACAAAATTAGGGAGGGATTTTGCTTGTTTCTTGGATTTTTTTTTTTTTTTACTTAAACTGTGGGACAAGGTAAATTAAGATGTTAATATAAAATGAAGATACAAGTGTCACTGAAATTTCATAGGGTTGGACTGTTACTGTGATAGTCAGTCATCACGTATAGATATCTGTACATGGGAATCTGTGGCTCTGGATCAAGGCTTTCGGTTGTTAAGTGACAGAAATCCAACTCAAAACTAGTTTGGAGAGGCATGGTAGATTCGTAACCAAAATGTAGGAAGACTGAGGTAACTGGAATAGGGTTTAGAACCCTCGGGTCATTGTCTTTCTCTTACTTCGCAGGCCTGCTTTTCTCTGCATTTCCTGTTCAGTTTCTCAGACTGCTTTTTCCCATTATCCTGAAATGATTAACTCCCAGTCAGACCGTAACTCATTCTTCTTTACCTTCACCCTAGAGAGGAAAGGACTCTTCCTTAGCTCTAGTTCAGAAAAATGTGAGAAAGAGCAGTTGATCGGTCCGGGTTGGAACAGATGTTAGTCTTTAAATCAGTTACTGTGGCCAGGAGACAAGGCCAAGTAAGGACATGACAGCTTCCATTTTGGCCCTCTTGCTTAGAGTGAATGGGAAAGGAGGGAGCAATCAAACAATAAAATTAAGCATTCAAATTAATTTTAATCAACCACATAGTTTGAAAAGTCTATATTTAGTATTTCCAAAATCTAGTTCTTCAGCTCTGAGGTCTATTTTCATTTCAGACTACCTTCCTGACAGCTTCGCTGAGATGTCTAATTGGCATCTTAGGCTTAGGCTAGAATTCTTGTTTTCTACCCCAAAAACCTGTTTCTCTACAGTTTTTCCATCTTAGGAAATACACCAACACGCAGTTGCTCAAGCAGAAAATTCTAGGAGTTATCCTTAGATTATTCTCTCACTACCCACTTCTGTCCATCAGCAGGTTATGTCAAGTAAACCAAAACACACCCAGAATCTGTTCCACCCTCACTTCTGTCTGAGCTAGTACCAGCCTAATCAGGCTCCCTTCATTTCCTGCCTTAACCAATGACCATCATCCTAACTGGTCCCCTTGGTTCTGCTCTTACCCCCCATAGTCCGTTTCCCCATAAATTAGACAGGGGTTTTCCTTTCTAAACCTAAACCATGCTATCAGTCTCCTCAGATCCATCCAGTTGTTTCCCATCATACTTAGCACGAACCCTGAGCCCTTTCCCCCATTTACAAAGCTCTTGTGTGAGCTGGACCCTGCCTATGTGATCACTTGCATGCCCTCAATACCATGTCTTTGCACAAGCTATTTATTCTCTCTGCTTCAAATGCTCCTTGCCTGATTTTTTTTTCACTAGATACCTGACTTTAGACAGTTACTTTTTCTCTTTGTTTTTTAAGTTTGTTCTCTCTCTCTCTCTCTCTCTCTCTCCTGTAAGTGGATAAAGTAACCCTCATAAGGGGTTGGGACATTTAAATAGGTAATACGTTAAGCAGTTTGGCCAGTATCTAACGCAAGGTAAGTTAATGAAGTGTTAGCTGTTAATTAGATAATGGTTATTATTAGAAAAATAAGAGCCATATGTGGGTCCCTGGGAATATATGTTGTACAAATAGACACTCTTCTTAATCTGTGATGTTCCTTCTAGAAACTCTGTATTCTGTTCTAACAGTGTTTGGCTTATAGTAAGCGTATATGTATATTGAGTGAGTGAATAAATGAATATAAATGTGTACTGTAAGTACTGGTTTGTGGATTGAAAGAACAATGCCAATCTAATGAACTTTCTGATTTCAGGTTTGAAAGATTAGAAGTCCTGGCTGTCTTTGCCTCTACAGTCTTGGCACAGTTGGGAGCTCTCTTTATATTAAAAGAAAGGTACATTTGTATATGATGTTACTGTCATTCTAAATTCCACCTGTGCCGTCCTTGGGAACATAAAGAACCCAGTGAGAGAATTTGGTTTGTAGGCTGTACAAATTAGGAAGAGCAGTGCTGGAGTTCTGATAGTACAATTCCTTCATATTTCAGACTTTTTTCTCTTTTTTTCGCCCTCTTTTATTACCTTCTTTGAAGCTATTAAATCCAGCTACAGGTAGGTGCGAGTGAAAGGAAGGGACTTAGTGATGCCCTGTAAAGGGCTATGTTGTCATGCTCAGAACTACAAACCCAGTGAAGCCGGTTTGGTGGAGTAAGAATAACATTTCAAGGACAATTTGTGAGTCTCCTTGCCCCACCACTGCTGCCAGTCAACAGTCGGTTATGTTCAAGATTTTGTGAATTTTTTGAGTTAACCATATGTTTAATACAGCTTTTTTATTTTATAATTTATAGGACTTATTTAATTCATATTTCTTTCTTTTAGTGCAGAACGCTTTTTGGAGCAGCCCGAGATACACACGTAAGATTTTGCTTTTGACATAACGTATAAATACTAGGAAGTTTAATTCCCAGATGTACTTGGTGTATTACTAAACAACCATTACTTCGGCCAGCATTAGAGTTCAGAGTGTAGCAGCATACATTTCAGTGGTTGCACAAACAGAATGTCCAAATCCCAAGACTCTTCTTCATCTTCGTTCGTTCCCTTACACAGCAGACGAAGGAAGGCCCCTCTACCCTGGCTTCAGGTCCCTCATTGTTTCCAGGCCCAGGTCAACACACTGAGCCAGCCCCGTCCGCTCTTCTATAATGTAAAATTTGATTCTCAAAATCTTAGTAGCACCTGCAGAAAAGATGGGATTGTTATTATCTTCCACATGGTTGCCAACTATATGGACTTCACTTATTTTGGTCAATTTAACCCAGGACTTTCTGACCTGTCCAGTGTACTATAAACCAAATACCATTAGCATGTATACAAATTTGTAACAGCAGTTACCTGTAGGATGATAATGTTAATGCTAAGAGACTGGTTTCGCCCTGTGTTATCAGATGGAGCAACAGTGCACAGGACATGGGTTACAGGGCTAGAAACCAAGTCCAGATTCTGGCTCTGCTGTACCAAACCATAGAAGCAGACAGCTGTGCCTCCCCATCTCTTTCCCAGTGTCTCTGCATGCTGAAATCACATGTTGATAGTACCAAGAAAAAAATAATGGCAAATGTTATTGTCATTCTTTTGCAGGGGAAGATTGCTAGTCGGTACTTTTGTGGCTCTTTCTTTCAACCTGTTCACGATGCTCTCTATTCGGAATAAACCTTTTGCTTATGTCTCTGAAGGTATGTGTTTGTCATTAATAAAAAAATTTAATTAATCTCTCATAAAAACAAGTCTTTTGTTTGTTTCATTATAAACCAATGAGAAAGTGTATTTTGAGGAGAAGAGAGAACTACCCCAAAGGTTTTCAAAGTCTTCTTTAAGGAAAGATATATAAAACAAAATCTAATCAGTTCAAGCTTTATTACTTAAAAACAGGTAGGACTGACATACATTAAATTAAATTGGATGAAAAGTTAGATTTACCAAGTAGCACAAATGAGATTTTAGATGTATAACCTACCTGTAAAAAGTCTATTGTGAACATTTTAGAAGCATCAGGATACTCAGAATAGTTGATGTTTTCATTGAAGGTAATTGAATTCTGTTAATTACGTAAGTTCCCACGTACTTCTGTTTGGCTATGGTGGGTGGGCATATATTTGAAAATATCAGAACTTTTTCCTTTTGAAGTATTCTTTTATTTTCAAGTCTTTAAAAATACAGACTGATTTTTCACTTCAGAGGTCTAACCCACAGAGGCCTGGCCACTGGTCGACGAGGAAGTGAGGCAGAAACAAAAGTGGGCCGTGGGCTCGGACCTGCATTTGGAAGCAGAGAGCGCAGAGGGGCTTTTCAGGCCTCTCAGACTCGAACACCAGGGCAGTCACGAGAGGAAAACTTTCTGAAATGCTGTTCAAGTTTAAACAACTTCGCCAGTGTCATGAAATCAGAGTTATATTTGTATGGATGAGAGTTAAGAATTTATTGCATGAGCTTGAAAATTGATGACCAGAATTTATTTTGAAAAAAATTGTTATTAAAATAATATACTGCTCATGCCAGAAATTTTAAAAGGATACAGATATTTAGAAACAATCTCTCTCTGTAAAGATCAGAAAGATACAAGAAGAAAAGGAATACTGATAATAACATAACCTTGAAATAACATCTGTTAACCTATTTTACCCTTTTATCTTTTGTGCACATCTTTGCATACTTATATAGATTTACAATTTTATGCCTTCCTCATTAACAGTATCTGGAATATTAACTCATTAAATACTCTGAAAAAAATGCTTCCCTGTTTTTGGGGATATTGCTTTAACCTGTTTAAGAAACAAAAAGACTCAGAAAGAACCTTTGACCGCTACCTCTTTCCTGCCTGAAAGATTCAGATAGAGAAACCTGCTTTGAAGAATTTAGGTTGTGACTTTAGCCTAATTTGAATCAAGTATGGTAAATTAGGGGGGACTGCAGCCAGGGTGTTTCAGCTAGACACCCACTGTGTCCCGTTGTTTCTGAGTCACCTCCTAAGGATTTGCCTAGCAGGTGTGTTCTGCTCCTCCGCAACTACGTGTAAAGCGCCCATTCTCACCTCTGAAATGTGACACTCCATTTCCCCCCTTTCTCCTCTGTCCAAAAATGTTTTATGTACCCAGTGTTGCTTCACTGTGTTTAGAATTTTCATGGATTTATCTAATCTGTGTGAATTCCCCATGCCCATATATTAAACTTTTATTTTCTCCTGTTAAAAAGAAAGGAAAAAAGTGCTTTCATAATATTTCATCATAGGAATATTTGTGAACATTTGCCTGTTCTTATACATTTCCAACTCTTTGTTTTACAAATAATGCTCTAATCCACTTATTTGTATTAAATATCTTGTACAGATTTATGATTCTTCTTTAGGATAAATTCTCAGATAAGAAATTACAGATGGGTTAAAAATACAGTATTTTTAGAGGCTTTGATATATATTGCAAAATTTCCTTCCAGAAAGGTTGTTTAGTTTGTATTTTCATTAGTTGGAAATGAAAGTTCCCCGAACATCAAGATTTGTGACATTAGCTGAAATTTGAGTGGAAAATAGTATCTGCCAGGCATTGTGCTAAATGCTTTACATAGATTAGCCGACTTAATTCTCCCTGTAACCATATGTGGTAAATCATTTTATTATGTGAAGTCAGACATGTTCGACATGCTCGAGATGTTAAGTCAGTTGCTCCAGGCCGCACATCTAGCGACGGGTGGAGACGGAATTTGAAGTCAGGTATCCCGGCATCTGAGGCTGCTCTTAAGTGTTCTGCTATACTGGCTTTTGTGCCAGGCTTGTCCATCTTTTCTTTTTTCTTTATTTTAATCAAAATACACATGAAATAGAGGATATTCCCAGAACTCTGGGATAAATGTAAGCAGACACTTGAGCCTGGAGGTTAGTTGTCCAGGGACACTAACTAGCGAGGGTGTCTGGATGCAGCCAGGTCCTCAGCTGGCCCTCTGAGAGCTGAGTATGTGTAACCAGTCTCCGCACACTGTTTAGGAAACTGCTTTGTAGTAAAAGAGCCTTCAAAACTTCAAGTGAGTAGTAATGATGATATATGTAAGTTCACTAATTCCTTCAGGGCAACTATATATTGTTGAAACTTTTTGCTTCAGTATCTTAAATGCATAAAAAAGGAGAAAGTTCTATATTTGAGGAGTAACGTCCTTTTGTAATGTTATGTGGATTATTGCCAAACATTTTGAGAATTAAGGAAATCATGTATTTCTGATAGTGATTTATTCTTCTAAATAAATAATTTAAGTATTTTCTTCTTAAAGCTGCTAGTACGAGTTGGCTTCAGGAGCATGTCGCGGACCTGAGTCGCAGGTAAGACATCACAGGGTTTCACGACAGACGTGGTTTTAAAGGAACTCACGGGGAAGGAATGTGTCACGGGACCCTACACAATTTATCCCTGAGATTAATCATTAATCTCACAGATTAGATTCTTACTCCTCCTTTTTCTTTTTAATTGATGATACAAAAAAGACCTTTATGAGTGAGAGAGCTTTGTTGTCAAATCCTCTTTGCTTTCTTTAAAAGATAAATGATGCTAAAATACAAGTCATCTTTTACCGGATTTTCATCAGTGTCACATGAGCTCTGCTGATGAAGACTACTTTTGTTTGTTTCACTCGTAGCGTGTGTGGAATTATCCCAGGGCTGAGCAGTATCTTCCTTCCCCGAATGAATCCGTTTGTCTTGATTGACCTTGCCGGAGCGTTTGCTCTTTGTATTACATATATGCTAATTGAAATTAAGTAAGTATTTTTCATTTCTGTCAAGTGTGTTTCCATTCCTGGGGCCTGACTAGTAAGGACATCCCCGGGATGGATGGGGGTTAAGCTCATAGCATGTTTGCTCATGACCTGCGTAACTTTGGTCACGTCTTGTCTTCACATGTCTTCTCTGAGAAAAGGGGGTTGTATTCAATAAGTATTTTCCACTATAATCTGTAATGCCAAGTTAATTCCCATCTGCTGACCTGATGAGTGGGACAAAAGAGGACAGTAAGAGAGAAATAATCAATAGCTTGCTGTTCCTGAAAGTGGGAAGAGAAGGAGTTATGAAGCAATTTTTTTAAAAAGCAAGCCTTTGAGGAAATAGACTTTACAGCTGCTCTAAGCTTAACATTTCAGGACATGTAATTCTTTGACTACATACCCTTTAAATATTAGAGTTAATTGGGATCTGTCCTTAATTTATTCTTTTTACTGTTTTGTATACTCTCCTCGGAAATCACATACAGTTACTCATTTTTTATTTACTACCTCTGTATGTATCCAAAACCTTTATTTCTAGCCTAGATCTATATTGAATTCAAAAGACATATCTTAGTGATTTCTATTCATGTCCACCTCAGTGGAACCTATTTTTCCCTATTCCTTTAACGCCTCCCCCCTCCCCCCACCCTTGACTCCTGCTTCAGGCAACCACTAATTTATTCTGTTTCTTATGAGTTTGGTTTTTTGACATTCCAGATATTAATGAGACCATACAGTGTTTATCTTTCTCTGATTTACCTCACTTAGCATAATGCCCTCAGAGTCTATTTGTGTTGATGCAAATGGCAAGATTTCCTTTTTTTTTTCCAATGACTATAATTTCCCGTTTCCATGTTTTGGCTATTATAAAGAGTCTTATAGTGTAGTATTGTTTAGCTTTCCTTCTAATATTTATTTATCTGTCCCCTCCTCATTCTCATTGCTGCTTCCCAAACTGACACCTTTATCATCGTTTCCTTGGCCTAGTTAGAATAGTCTTCTTCTGCTCTTTTACTTTTTCATTCTCACACATCTCTGGTTTTCCACTATTTTCCTACTAATGTGATCATTCAAAATTTCAATGCCAGACATATTTTTCTGATTCAAAATACTCCCTTTTGCTCTGGCTGGGGTGGCTCAGTGGATTGAGTGCTGACCTGCAAACCAAAAGGTCACTGGTTCAATTCCCAGTCTGGTCACATACCTGGGTTGCCGTCCAGGTCCCCAGTGGGGGGCGCTTAAAAGGCAACCAATCGATGTATCTCTGGCACATTGATGTTTCTTTCCCTCTCTTTCTCCCTCCCTTCCCCTCTCTCTAAAGATAAATAAATAAAACCTTTTTAAAACCCCAAAAGCAAAATACTCTCCTTTGCATATTTTAAAAAATTAAAAGTAATTAGTATAATAAAGCCCCTATTAACCTTACCAACCATCCATCTCTCTTAACTGTTTTTAGTTTTGTTGCTGCATCAAGATTTGTATGCGCTTGTACATGCTGTTTTTTGGGGTTTTTAAAATTTTTATTTACTGATTTTTGAGAGCGAGGAAGGGGGGGGAGAGAGAAACATCGATGTGTTGTTCCACTTATTTATGCATTCATTGCTTGATTCTCATACGTGCCCTGACCAGATAGCAAATGTGCCACCTTGATGTATCAGGACTGTGCTCCAGCCAACTGAGCTACCTGGCCAGGGCCGTGCTCATGCTGCGTTCACTGTCTACGCTCTCTTCCTTCTATCACCTCACTCTTCTCTGAAGGCTGAGCTCAAATGTTACCTCTTTATATTTATTGTTTCTGGATTACCTCTACCCCAGGAGCCTCCACACTCACTCTTTTGTGCATCCATGACTCCCTGTAGGGACTTCTCTTTTGCTCACAGAGAGGACTTTAGTACGTTTTCCACGTTGTACCTCCTGCTATTTCAAAGGCGGGAGCTGTGCCTTACTCATATTTTTATTCCCAGCACATGGGAAAAAGTTAAAAAGTGTGCTTGTAGCCGTCAGCACTTTGGTCTGTTCTAATGGAGCAGTCTGAATTGTTGGTGGGATGTTGCACTTCAGGCACAATGTTGCTATAACAAATACCTTGTAGCCCTGGCTGGTGTAGCTCAGTAGATTGAGCGAGAGCTGCAAACTGAAAGGTCACTGGTTTGATTCCCAGTCAGGGCACATGCCTGGGTTACGGGCCAGGTCCCCAGTGGGGGCACCTGAGAGGCAACCACACATTGATGTTTCTCTCCCTTTCTTTCTCCCTCCCTTCCCCTCTCTCTATAAATAAATACATAAATAAAATGTTTTAATCTAAAAGAAGGAGATTATTCTAAAAACAACAACAACAACAAATACCTTGTAAAATTCCTGGGCAATCTTTAAAATTTTAATAGTAAATATTTTAAAGTTATTTTTTATAGGACAATTGATACAATCACTGATAAGCTCTATTAGTGTCTGTATCAGATATTACTATTTGAAGGGTTTTATTTGTTGCAACAAATAAACATATATGAAATCTTTCTAGTTAACAAGTAGATTGACTAAAAATAGTGGAGAAATGCTCATTTTTTATCTTCATCATCTCTCTTCACATTAATTAGCGTAATTATTAAGAGTTTTTCCCACTAAACTCTGGACATAAAAGGATTTGGAAAATTCTTTGTTTTCCCTTGAGATGGTCCCATTGCCATTAGTGACCACTTGTGATGAAATAGTCCTTTGCTTTAGGTAATTAATGTTTGGTAGATTCAACGGTAAGCAGGCGAGCGAGGCACACGTTTGCGATTTAGAATTGTTTTTTCCTTTCAGTAATTACTTTGCTGTAGACACTGCCTCTGCCATCGCCATTGCCCTGATGACGTTCGGCACTATGTACCCCATGAGTGTATACAGCGGGAAAGTGCTACTTCAGGTAAGGCTCTTTCAGTGCGCATGCGAACATTAGCCCTGTTCTTCTGCTAGATTGTGAAATTGTGTGCGTTCCACTGGACTGTGAAACGTTTAGCTATTGGAGGGCCCTATTGGAAATGAAGCCAGATAGTAATCTCTGAAATTTTTATACTAAGAACTAGATGAAATTACATTGGCCCATAAAATAGGCACAAAACTTCCTATATTTGTAATATAAAACAAAGCCAAAAAATTTAAGACTGCCTGTAATAATGTTTCAAGTGAGAACAATGTTGCTGAACTTTTTTTAGATACTTATTTTCCTTTAATAAATTTGTATAAATTTATTATATAATCAGGCTATTGTATAATATTTATGATTGTTTTCTTTTTTTCTGTGGTTGAATCAGTGAGAATTTTAAATTTCAAGCTTAAAATTAAAATGGTAAATTATTACTTACTGAAACAGTGGGAACACCTGTGGACAAGAGCCTGCATGGGGAGGTGCTTTCCCAGCACCGGACGTGTGCGTGCGCACGGCTCCTCCTTCTGTCTGTGCCTCACGCCTTTTCTGGGACTTACGGGTAGTATCCCGGTCTTTAGGGCCAGTAACAACAATAAGATAATAGTTGTATAGTGCTATACTCTATACAGAATGTTACCTTCTTAAGGGGTTTTTTGTTGATTGATTATTTTGATTGGTTGATTCTTGATGCCGTGTTTGGTCCTAGCGGCAGCAGCTTCTTTGTGAACTGCAAAGAGCATGAGCTGCTTCTTGATGTCGCCCCACTGCTGGGGGCGGCTGAAACCTCTCTTCCCTAAACCGTGATCGGGCACACGTCAGACAAAGCACAGTTTGGTATAGGACGCAATATTGTTAGTTTCTGGACCATTGTTGCAAAAATCTTCCTTGATACATTTTTTATTTTTTCCCCAGACAACACCACCTCATGTTATAGGTCAGTTGGACAAACTTATCAGAGAGGTAAGATGGAATGATAAATAAAATCATTTAAATTTATAATTAGTGATGCAAAGAATGGGTACAAATAATACTTTATTCAACCTTATCTAGACTTTAAGGGAATTTGTGTTCCTAACTCATTAGGGGACATAACAGTGACAAAAGCAGAAAGATTGAGGAATTGTTTGGTCTGGAGACCAAATTCACTTGCTATAAATGTGGAAGGTAATGGTCTAAGGACCACCCTACTACCTATATAAATGCTGTAATTTTTATGATTTTATATTTACACCTAGGGGTTTGAGTAAATTAAAGCTTATTCTAATCTGTTCATTGCCTCACCCCCTAATATCTTGGGGGTTTATATTTTGTATTGTTATAAATTTCTACCTGTTAACTAATGAAAGAATAAGATAATTGAATTATTTGGATGTGGAGAGTATTTTAAACTGTTGGTTGTTGGTATCACAAAGGCCACTTTGACCAATAGAGCTGGCCACTGTCTCAGCTGGCGGAGCCTGCGCCACTGCACCAGGGGCCACGCACTGTACAGCTGGCCTTGGAACTTCCGTGGGGCCCACATCCAGATAATGTGCATTGTTGTGCAGAAACTTGTTAAAACAGAGTTCAGAGAAAGAAATGATAGAGGAGAAAAACAACTGAGAGCACGAGTGCTGGGTATGAACATATGCCATGTTGATAAAATGAAGAGAACCACACACTGTTGAACAAGGTGGGGTGGGAGGGTGCAAAGACCTGACTTTAAAGGGACTGGTGCAGACAGGAAACTGGGGGGATAGGCCTTTGCTCTACTGCACAAGCAGAAATGGAGTTTTGGAAGTCCGAGATGAGCATTTTTGGACCCTAGGTTTTGGCTCATTGGCTAAGTGGTGGTCTGGGACTTCTCTTGGCTGATGAGTGTCCTCATGCAGGGCTTGGTCACATCGTGTCCAGGCCAAGAGCAAGTCCATGCATAGTGGGAGGGACTGTGTCGGATATGTCTGGTGAAAGCAACCCTGTTTCTGTGTTTCTGATCAGGTGTCGACCTTGGATGGAGTTTTGGAAGTCCGAAACGAGCATTTTTGGACCCTAGGTTTTGGCTCATTGGTAGGTTTTCTATATATTACTTTAGTTATAATTTAAAACATAATTTGTAATTTTCAAAACCAGGAAAAAGTACTCTAAAATTTTTATAGATCCTTTGACTCCCATTTTTGTTCAGTAGAGCCTAGAATGTAGATGGATTCACAAACTTAATTGAGATTAATAGAGGGATGTTTTTCTTTTTTTTTTTCTTTACAAACCACATGGTCTTAATACCGAACAGTCCAGAGAAGACAAATTCATAGTCACATATTCCTAAATGTGAAAGTGTTACAAAGGTGCAATTTTCTTTTTAGTTGCAGTTCTAATTTTGGAGATTTTGCTGAATGTGTTAGAATTGTGACAATACAACTCGCTGCAGCATGAAATTCCATGCTTTCTAACACACTCTGGGCCTCACGACCAGAGGAACACTGTTGTGGCATGGCTTCATTTCTGTGTCAGGAATGGTGAAGCAAAGTGCCTGGAAAAGTTAAATCAACATAATCCTACCATGTTGAGAAAATTGCTATTGACATTTTGGTGTTTATACTTACACATTTATTCTCCTTAGAAAATGAGGTCATGCTGTTTTATAATGTGCTCTTTTCATTTAACATACCATAAACAGGTTTTCATATCACCAAATATTACTGTTCTGATTTAAAAAAAATAAGATTCGGCTGTTTTTTTCTTTTTAACATAACACAAATTCCAGAGGTAGGCAGATGCGGGCTTGTCCAGCAGCTCAGCGATATCATCCATGTCACAGCCTGGAGTTTCAGGTTCGTGCTCTTGCAGTGGGAGAATGGCCGCCTTGTCTCCACGTTTCCCCTGCTCCTTCCCTCTGGTCATTTTGGGTATCTGAACCTCATTTCTAGTAAATTCTTCAGGAAGGGCTCTAGGGAACAACATTTCCTAAATTCCTGAATGTTGAAAACAGTTGTGGCTATTATACTTGAAAATCGTTTTAACTGGATATAAAATCCTAGCACATATTTTGTTTTCTTGAGTTTCTTCAATATATTACTCCATTTACCTCTGGCATAAAGCATTGCTGTAATAAAAGCCTGATGGCTCACAGTCTGGTTTGGGCTTTTTATTCCCTTTATATGTGACTCAATCTTTTTGCCTGGGTGCCCAAAGTATTATTATTATTATTGTTGTTGTTGTTGTTTGGGTTTTTTTATTCCCTTTATATGTGACTCAATCTTTTTGCCTGGGTGCCCAAAGTATTATTGTTGTTGTTGTTGTTTTATTTGTATTTTTATTTTTACACCTAATAATTTTACTAGAGTGTTTTGGTGTTGATCATTCTGGGTCAATTATTACAGGTATGCAGTATACCCTTTCAATAATGTTACTCAAAAACAGTTTTTGTAAACTTTCAGGAAAGCTTTTTTTTTTTTTAAGCTTTTATTTATTTGTTTGTTTGTTTGTTTATTTTTAGAGAAAGGGAGGGAAAGAAACATCACTGTGTGGTTGCGTCTCTCGTCCCCTCAACAGGGGACCTGGCCTGCATGCAGCCCAGACATGTGCCCTGACTGGGAATCGAACCAGCAACCCTTTGGTTCGCAGGCTGGCACTCAGCCCACTGAGCCACACTAGCCAGGGCAGGAAAGTTTCTTTAATTATGGGTTTTAATATTTAGTTTCTTGCTTTGATTTTCTTCTTTGGGAACTTCTATTGTAATCATGTTGGATTTTGCCGTTTTTCCCTATTTGTTTTATCTGCATTTCCTTTTGATTTTCAAACTTTCCTTCTTTTCACCTTCTATTTCTATTAGAATTTACTTGGCTATTTACTTGCTTTTGTATTTTTTCTAGTTTGGTCTTCATTTCTAAAGCAATTTTTAAAATTTTCTAATTATCTCATTGCTGAGATTTTCTAATTTTGATTTATATTGTTTTTTTATGTCTTTTGGCTTGTTTTGATAAAGTGGGGTATAGTTCTCATCCATTTTGTAGATAAATCTTCCTAGTTATCTTTTCTGTACTTCCTTTTTTTCTTGTAATAGCTGTGTGAGATTTAGATTCACTCTTTTTGTATTGTTCCTTTTTACTAATATGTGAAATTCATTTTCCTGAACTTAAAAGTAAGGAGTGGTTTAAGGCAGTATGTCTAAATTCATGGCTCTAGAGTTCCCTCTTCTGATGAGTCTGTGAAGTGAAAATTTTTTTCTGTCCCCGGCTCCGGTTCTCTTCCGTTTGGACCTGAACCTTCTTTATCCTTTGTCTCTACTGTGCCGCTCCATTGGGATTCTGTTCCACGTTGTTTCTCCTTAATGTGGAGCCTTGCCTGGTTACTTTTGAGAGTTCTAGGGTTCAGACTGCTCCAGCTCTTCATATCTTATTCCAGACCCAGCTGCCTTTCTCAAATTCGCTGCCCTAGATTTCCAGTAAGTACAGGTTTACTGCTTTGGGGTTTTTAGGTCAGTCCAATGCCCTGTTGCTTCCTCCTCTGCGGATGCCAATACCTTGCAGGTCCATAGCTTGTGTTTGGGGGTTCTTAAGAGTACTGTGTTAGCTAGTTTTTTGTAAATGTTGTTCATAGGTTTTTGGATTTGCTATCTTAAGTTTCTCAGTTTTTACAGAGATAGGACATTTCCAGAAAGTGCCACCACTGTTGCTGTTTACCAAGAATCCCAACATAATTTTTATATTGGCTGCAGAGTTTTACATTATACACATATGCCATAATTTATTTCATTATTCCTCTATTGTGTAAGTTGTTTTCTATTGTTCCCATGTAAACTGGGCTGAGGTGAATATCTTTCCTGCATAATCTTTGTATGTACTTGAGATTATTCCCTAAGATTAATTTTTAGGCTTTCCACCATGTGAGGATAACAATTAAAAATCTGAGAAGTGCAAGAGAGCCCTCGACCAACCATGCTGATCTTCGATCACTCTGATCTTGGGCTTCGCAGCCTCTAGAACTAAACTATCTCAGAAAAGAAGTGGGGGGTGGTCGTCCCTGAACCAGCTCAAGGCCCATAGTGGACCTGAACAGATGCAGCCACACCACCTCATTGGATCTGCACTACACAGTCTTGCTTGGGGTGGCTGGAGACTCAAAGACTGCTTCTTGTCTGGAGTCATCCTGAGCTGCCTGCTTCTGTCCTTGGGTAGCCTGAGGCCAAGGCCAAGAGGCCCTGAGGCCCACTTCTTGTGGATAGAAGTTACTGGAAACCTCAGTAACAGTGTGTCCCAGCACTCAGTGGGCTGGGGCACTCAGAACCCCTGGTTGAGTGATAGCTGTCCTCTCCACTGTTAGACCTGTGCCTCTCCTGCGAGTAGGTGGTGCATTAGGTCCAAGTGGAGCTTAGATGTGTGTGTGGTGGGGAGACCTCACGACACTGGCACGCTGACATCCTGGCCAGGCAGAAACCTCAGGTAACCCAAGCATCTGAAACAGCACTGGTCTTCCCTTCAGTAAACAAACAATGAGTATTTTTTTTTAAAGATTAATTTTTAGAAGGGAATTTTTGTTAGTAAAAGAATATTACACTTTTTGTGGCTTTTGATGCCAGTTGCCAAATTGCTTTCCAAAATGGTTATACCAGTTTACATTCCTCCAGTAATGTAGTTCAATCTTAATCATTCTTTTCATTGTCATTCTTTTTATCAATAAATCAGTAGGCAAGTGTTTATTAAGCTTGGTGGCTTATCAACACAAAGAATACAGTCATCTCAGCTCTTCAGGACTTGGCCACCTAACAACCACACAGACAATGCAGTGCCTAAGGGAGACCAAGGAGCTTACTAAAGCAAGCTTTTGAGCTGCCAGAAATAGTTGTCACAAAAGGTAGAGTTGAATGCAGACACCACAGTCGTAGCAGACTGTTCAAGCTCATACTCGGAAATGGCTTTCGCTTACTCTTTTTCGGTTTGTGTGCAGACTGAAAAAGAACACAGTGTCTTTTACAGGTTTGTGTAGTGATAGCAGGGAGATGCCCGTGGCAAAGAGAAGGGAGAGGCCAAAGCTGTCATGCCTTCTAGACATGGCCTGTCACGTTCCAGCAGCACAGATACTTGCTCTAGCTCATGATTGATGGTAACTACTCCAGTCGTAGATCCACACATTTTAACTAAGTCAACTGCCCAATTTCTGTGCAGTTTGTGCTTTGTTCTACTTTTTCTTTGTGTTTAAGTTTTTATTATATAAATGCTGCCCAATTGTTAGAAAAATTAGAACTTACAACTAAGTCAAGAAGAATAAAAATCTTTAATAGTTCTACTATCTAGAGGTATGTGCTGTCATGCTTGATATTTCTCTGTATGTGCGTATTTTAATCAAAACAGGATCATTATACCTACTATTTTATTATCTACTTTAAAAATACGATATATGATAAACATTTTTTCAAGTTTATAAAAACACTTGTTACCCTCATTGTAATGCCCGGTGCTCCCTGTCCTCCCAGTAACCTAGGCTAGAAACCTTGAGATCATCTCCGATGAGCCTGTCTCACTCATGCATCAGATCTGGTTGGGTGTCAAGTCCTCCTGCTGCTAATCCTTGGGATATCATGAGTTCATCTGTCCCTCTCTGATCCACTGTCCCATCTCAGACCTCTTCATTTTTAATCTAGGCTATTGCAGTCATTTCCTACATTGGCAATCGTGAATCCATACAATTTTTCAGAACTCGTATTGCTGTTTTATTGTGCTGTTAAAACTTAACGATATTCAGATACCTCTTCTAGCCTTTTTTTTCAACCCCATTACTTAACCTTTCTTTGTTTTCTTCCTTTCCTCTTTTCTTTTCTTTATTCTTTTTCTGCCTTCTGAAATATTTGTACTTCTTTATGTATTAGTGATATTGTTTATTCTTGCCCAAACATGCCATCATTTCCATTGCTATTTCCTGAGCCTGTCTCCACCTTTTGAAATTCACTTAACCATCAACCCTAGATTACATGTCAGTTTTTCTTGAAGTCTTTCTCAATTTGAATCATCTCCTTTTTCTGCCTTTCTGTTGCCCTTTTCATATACTTATGTTCTGCCTTATGTTCTAACATGCCTATGCTGCTCCTACATGGATTTCTCTTCATGTATATATACTTCAGAAGATCATGTTTTATTGAAAAAGTCACAGATTATTTCACTAACTCTTTATCTTGATAATCAGTACTAAGTAGTCTTTAAGGAACATCGAGACATTAAACTTTCTCTCGTGTTAAAGAAAATACCAAGTCCTGTTACAACAGACTCAGAAATAAGATGTTTGTCTCTGATGGAACTGTCAGCAGTGTGATCCTAAGCAGTCTCTTCTCATGATTTTGCCCCTTTTAGGCGGGATCAGTGCACGTGAGAATTCGACGGGATGCAAACGAACAAATGGTCCTTGCTCATGTGACCAACAGGCTGTACACTCTAGTGTCTACTCTGACTGTTCAGATTTTCAAGGATGACTGGACAAGGCCTGCCGTACTGTCCGGGCCTGTGGCAGCGAATGTCCTGCATTTTTCAGATCATCACGTAATCCCAATGCCTCCTTTAAAGGGCCCTGATGAGTCGAACCCTGTCACATCGACTCCAACTAAACCTAGTAGTCCGCCTCCAGAATTTTCATTTAACACCCCTGGGAAAAATGTGAGCCCGGTTATTCTTCTAAACACACAAACAAGACCTTACGGTTTGGGTCTCAATCACGGACACGTACCTTATAGCAGCATGCTTAATCAAGGACTTGGAGTTCCAGGGATTGGAGCGACCCAAGGATTCAGGACTGGTGTTACAAATATACCAAGTAGATACGGGACTAACAACAGAATCGGACAACCAAGACCATGATGCACTGTAATTTAATTTATTATATGAGGGATATTGACTTCTTGACTTCCAGTTTATTTAGTAATCCAACCTTGCATTGACTGTTCAATCATTTATTGTAAATGTAACAGAATAGTAGTCTAGTTCATGTTATATGAAACCGATGAAATTATATTTTTGTAAATGTATTTAGGACACTGAGAACCTTTAAATGCTGTAGGCTTTAAATAGGCTTTAAAGTGTATTTCTCTAAATTTGCGTTTTGCTGTCTTTGGTTTTGTGATTGACTACGGAGTGGTAGGAGGTTATCTTGGCAAGAGAGCCACGTGAGTGGGTCCACTGCGTTATTAAAGATACAGTCTTTTCCATGAGATGTATAAACCTGCTTCTTGAGTAATGACACACATTCTAGGAAAGAAAAAACATGGCCGTGCTAAAAGTAAAAGTCTCTTTTATAGCTTTTCCAAACTTAACTGCTACATTTTCCTTTGAGGTCCTGAATCATGTCAAGCAAAAAATTTTATCAGAAAATTTGGAACATATTCTACTACCTGGTTTTGTTCTGTACACCTGTGAATAGTCTGTGGTTCTTAAAGTTGCATAATCAATTTTAGTTTATGTTAAATAATTTTACCAAAAGATGATGGATGTTAGGTTGTAGAATACAATATTTTCAGATCTGCTACAGGCAGTTTCTGTTTACTGTTTTGCTTTGTCAAACATAGTGAATTGTTAACTGTGATGAGTGTGAGAATTATGTAGATAATCTTATTTTTTTTATTATTTCCCAAGTGCACATGTTAAAGACTTTCTAACATGGCCAGTATTTCTAATTAAAAATATAACAAGTGGCAGTTGCAAATTACCTATGATTTTTTTCATTATATCATGAGTTTTATGATTAGGGTTTTTAAAAGAGATTTTAAGAGTGAATTCAACTTTTCTGGAATCCAGTGACCCTGGAGATCTGTGACTTTTCCAGCCATCAACCAGCTGTCTAGAGAAGATTTTTGTTTTTGTAGAATTTGCAACAGTTTCTTCAATCAACTCATCCTTTTACATATGAGGAATACTTCCAAATCCTTTTTCTGCACGGTGGAGTAATGGACATCTCAGAAGCCATCTCCGTCAAACAACTGCAGTTACCCTGTAGTAGTAAATGACCGTGTCTCTATTAACATTTGCTTGGTGGGGAGCTGCTCACTGTCTTGACATCTGCGACCCTGATCAGGCATTGGACCTACTGAAGAAATAGAGGGTCCATGACCTTGACCGCTGGGGAACATGAAGCTTTGTAAAATGTAATAGGGCAAAGTGTTTTTTGTCCTTTGTCTCATGTCTTCCAACTATTGCTATACCTATTATTGACCTACGATTACAGGGTGATTTTTCCTCCATTGACCTCATCTAAATGGGAATTTGGGTCATGTGTGAAATCTGAACTGTCGAGTGCTGAGTGATGAGTAAGAGGTATGTGCTGTCACCCTATGCACATCGCCACCCCCATGGGATTTTTAAAGTGCCCAGGTGCAGAACACAATTCTGCCTGAGGTTCAGTGCCTACTTCCTCGACCCCCATTCAGAAGCAGCACCTGCGCAGTTGTCCCACCAGAGGTGCTTTCGTGCCCACATACACTATTGCAAAGTTGCCTGTGGGTTTTGAAGGAACTGGCTCTATTTGCTGCGGTTCAGTAATGCCAACTGCGGCAGGCTCCTTGGGTCCACCGTTTGCCTGGCTCTGGCTGGCTTTCTGGATATAAAGACAAGAAACTTGGCCAGCATATAGGCCTTAGGCAGCACTTACTGGTAAATCTTGCTCTAGAGTTACTTGAAGCTAGATTTTTAGAAAAGGAAGTTCAAATTAAATACTTGGCCCACGGTTTGGGACTAAGAGTAAGCGTCATGGAGTGTGACTAACCCAGCTTGAGACATCACTATTTGTGAGGGGAAGAAACAGGAGCCTGACTGGAAGGCAAGAACCGGATTCTAATCCTGACACTGCGTCTGTGTGAGTAGTTTTGTAACCATAGGCTAGTCGTTCAACTCCCCTGAGCTTTCCCATCTGTAAAGTTAGGGTGGGAAAGGAGTTAGCTGATCTGTGGCTATCAGCTCTAAAACTTTATGACTAAATCTGGAGAATATGTGCCCACTTGCCAAACAGAAGATCGTTCCAGTGACTACCTCAGCGTGGAAGCCAAGTGTTTCCTGCACCGACACCCGTGCCGTTAATTTGAGGTGCCATGAGATCAGAAGGGGAACTGTAGGCTGACACCACTGAGGGTTTGCTTTATTTCAGACTTGCCTCAAATCAATCTTTAAATCTGTTTAAACAGGTTTTTCTTAGACTTCTTTCTTTGTGGGAAAGGATTATTTTTGTGGAGTGTTGGAGGTAAGATTAGGACGAGGTACCCTTTGATAGGGTATGAAAGAATGGGGTCCATTTATATTTCTTCCTTAATCTCTGGAGTCACAGTGGAAACTACGTACATGTACCAGCAACCGGGGAGGACTGGAACTTCAAGCCTCCGACTCGGCTGCTCAAAAACTGCCAATTTTTATGCTTGACTAAAGAATGCCGATATTCTCTGGGGGTCCGATCTGCTTCTTATATACGAAAATGCTTTTCCACATTCCAAAATGTTTGAATTAAACTTTTTGAATAAAAACAGACATGGACTTTTCTGTGATTTTAAATAATGTTGGCTTGCTTCTTTACTCAAGAGCTATTTATTGGTAATTTAATGATCTCATATTTAGCAAATTCTTGTTGAGAATCTAGTACATGCCAAGCACGGTACTAAATAAATAGGCATACAGCAAATCAGTTTTTGGGACCTGCTGTTCTTGGGCCCAAGGGAACCCAGAGGGCTAGGAGTCCCCTTCAGGTGGCTGATGACCCAAGTGGGAGGGACGACCCATGGAGCTATTGCATGTCATCAGTGGACGCCCTCCCACTTCCTCCTCTTCTTTGGCCTCATTTTCCTGGCATCCTCTTTTGTTTCTGAAGTATGAAACTTAAGTCGATTTCCACACACGAGGCCAGCTAAGGAGGTGATGGTGCCGCACATCTCGATGTCAGGAAAGGAAGAGAAAGTGCAGAAGGGGCAAGTTAGGCAGATGCTGTTGACACAGATCACTCTTAGGTGTATAACAGATTGCCATATAGACTCTTGGACTATATGAGCAAAGATTTTTAAATCACCAGACTGAAAGTAATGGAGTCTCAGAGCATTCATGGACTCAGGGGGCCCTCTATTTAATCAGTTACTAGTTTAAAAGCACCTTTAATAACACTGATATCATCATCATCAAATTGCCATCCAACAAGCCTAGCTTCTTGCAGAAAAGTTAACTTAGATAACACATGGCCAAGTTTTCTGACCAATGCTGCATCGGGTAAAAATCTTTCTGTACTGAAGTCAAAAAACACTAATTGCTTTAGATTTTCAAATGCACCCAGGAAGGGACGCCATCCATCACTGCTCACACAGTTTCCTGCCAAATCCAGCTGCTGGAAGTTTTTCAGAGGGTTCTTTTCAAAAAATGCACCTGGTAAAAAAATAGAAATTAGTACTTTAGTTAGAAGCAAAACAGTTTTTTAAAAAGAAATGGCGATATTTGGACCAGTGCTTTGCTTTAGAAATTATCTATAGTTAGGGCAGTGATTGTGAACCTGGACCATTGTATTTACAAACCATATTATTCCTAAAGTATAAGGGACTCTGATAAATAGTAATTGGCATTTAATTATCAGTGTTAAGTAAATAATGTAATTATAATTAGTTATAACAAATTTTAAATAATTTATAACTGATTTAACTACTATAATTCATTTATATCAGTCAACCAATATAAATGAATTATATGTTTTCTCCCTTTTTCTGACTCTTCCAGGAAAGGGAGGATTGCTTAAAATTGAGGTGCGAGAGATGCTGTTAAATAAATACTCAGCACTGGTTTTCAAAGCTGGAGTCAGACTCTGGCAATCTTACATCATCTCCTCTCCTGAGAAGCAAACACTACCTGTTGTGCCTTGGGTATGGAATGGTCTAAGTGTAAACTTGAGTAAGTGAACTCATTCAGGATCTCAAGACTTGGGTTTGGGCATGGTGGGGACGGTGTTGGGGATGTTTAACCCTCCCTAGACTTAAGGAATTCCCTCTGTTCCTTACAGAACGAGGCCCTCTAAAGTGCCTCCTCAAAAGGAAGGCGTTCTAGCCATGACCATGAAGTCAAAGATGACTCGCTAAGAAATAGAGGGGTAAAAAGGTAGATTCCTGGGTCTGAGAGACTGTCCAGAGCAAAGCCACCCCACCTGCCCAGATTGCTTGCTTCTGGACAACTGTTAGAGGTCAGCGAAGTAAGCTCTGTCTTCTGTAAGCCTTGGTGGAGCCGGGTCTCTGTTTTGCCAGCTCAGCCTGTGCCCAGCCTACCTCACACATAGGGCCTCACCTTCTCTTCTCTCCCTCCTTCTCATAAGGAGCCCTTACTTGTTCCTTATAGGGAGCTTTCTCCTGTCTCTCTCTCTCACATGTTGTGTTCACATTTTCTGCCTCTGTCTCTTTAAAAACGTTGATTTTAGAGAGAGAGAGAGGGGGAGGAACATCAGTTTGTTGTTCCATTCATTTATGCCTTCATTGGTTGATTCTTGTGTGTGCCCTGACTGGAAATGGAAGCCGTAACCTTGGCATATTGGGACGACCTCTAACTGACTGAGCCACCGGCCAGGTCTCTGTCTTTGCCTCTTCTTTTTTCATGTGCTTCCCAGCTGGGCGTGCGCCAGTCAGAATGCTGGTTGTTAGTGTCTATCAGGCTCCTTCCCCAAAGAGCACCCTCTTTTCTCCTTCTCAACTTTACCACCTAAAAGGAGCTGAAAAAAGAATTTAAAGCCCATTCTGCTCTCAGAGGATGAGCTATTTACACAGGCTATCTACGAAGGTGTATGAATGGTACCAATTTAATAAGAGAGCTTCTCGGACAATCACTGCAGCATGTGCAAGCACAGGAACCGAGAACAAGCAGCATCCCCCAGCCTCCAAGGGCATGCATTGTGTTCACGTAATCCTCAGTGTCTCTGTCATCAGGGTGAGCAGACCGCTCCTGAGGGTAAAGGAATCTGTGACATTTAGAGCTGTGGACTTCACGTGGGCTACAGAGCGAGGAAGTGGCTCGATCCAGATTCCAGGCAGAATCTCAAATGCTCTGGGCAGGAGGATTCTCGCCCTTGAAGGGCTCCTGCCTACTGAACAAAACCCTAGAACCAGAGCTCTTCCAGTCTGTCACCCAGCGAACATTGTTGAGTGTTTGCCTACTATATACCATGGATTGGGCTGGGTGCTAGGGGTACATGGAAAGGACAGACCAGGCCCCTGCCTTAGTGGGCTTACAATATACCATGAGAACATACAGTATGAATTAGACGGGTGCTAGTGCCATGATAGGCCAATTTAGGTCAATTTCTTTCCCTCTCATCCCCTGCAGTGAGATTGTTTCAGAGTCTGTAACGCAGTTAGGTTGTTTTGCATTCTGCATTTTGACCTCGGCATCCCAGATCTCAGTGATCTTTTTACTTTGCGTACATTAAGGTTCGCTCTTTGTGCTGCCAAGTTCTATGGGTTCTGACAGATGCAGTGTCATGTACGCACAATTAGAGTATCATACAGGCTATTTCCACTGCCCTGAAAAGTCCCCTGAGCTGCCTCTGTTTAACCCTAACCCTCCCATCCTCCTAAGCCTCTGGCAACTACTGAGCTTTTTAACTCTCTCAATAGTTTTGCTTTTTCCAGAATGCCATATAAATCGAATCATACATTTTGTAGCATTTTAAGACATGCTTTTTCTCCCACTTAACAATATA